TGGAGAAAACAAACAAACAAACAAAGCAGAGTCTCTCTGCTCAAACAAGCAATGATCCACTTAGGTAACTTGAGCCAGTGGTGGAAATTCCGCGTTTCCATGGCAGGACCAGTCTTCATCCTATACCTATAGGAGGATGACCACTGCTCCTAAAGTAGAAGATTAGTGCTGGATACAGCTGCATTTGCAAATGTAATTTGTAACTTGAATTCCTTACCAATGTATCGATGGTTACATTTTATTATGCGATTTTATTGAGGGACTGTGTGTTGTCTTGGCGTGGTGTGGGACTGTTTTTTCTTTTGTTTTGCTGCATTGCCTAAGCTTTCGGAATTGGTGTACTTATTCAATGTATCAATCGGAATTATTTATTTCTATGTATATATATGTTTGCTTTCCCGCACTCCTATAGTTTTTTGAATGTATATTCTTTGTTTCTTTCGGTAAAGTCACGTATATAGAAAAATAATCATAATCGGAGTGAGTGTACTGGCAGTCTATAATGCAGACTGTAGCCTGGTTATTAAGTTTGGTGAGTGTACTGGCAGTCTATAATGTAGGCTGTAGCCTGATTTACATTATAGACTGCCAGTTCACTCACCAAACTTAACAACTAGGCTACAGTCTACATTAGTGGGTTTTTTGTTTCTTTCTTATTTTTATTTTATTTTTCTTATTTTTTATTTTTATTCACTTTCTTTTTATTATGATTTTCTATCTCCGTGACTTTACCGAAATAACCAAAGAATATGACTTCCTGCAGTCACGAAAGTTTTAAGTCAAATTTTTTTTCATTGTTTGTTGATGCGACTTTCTGACCCACCCTTACAGCACATTTGTGAAAAAGAGCTTCATAGCTCATCGGATTTCTTCAGGGTAGATAAACAAATTGCTGAAACACAAATTAAACTCACCAGTCAGAAACCTGGTGTTCCACACACACAATCATTACATCTGTGTGTGAACTAGCAATCCCACTTCTGAGTCACTTGGTTACAAGTGTGAATGACCATGCAGTAGAAACCTCTCCACATGCACCTGAAATTCCGAGAGAAAATACTTCTTGCACACATTGATTGTTAGAGTCATTGTGAGATTTTGAATGCAAGTTTAAATGTTTTTTATTCTAACAAACACACGCGTGCTTCCATCCACGCATACAATTTGGCATTTTTGTGAGATGTGTGTAGACACCAGTATAGCAACGATTTGTGCGTTGCATTGAGAGACCTGGGTTCGATTCCTAGGCATACACATCAGCAGTACTCACTGCTCCTAGGCTTAGCTTTAGTTTGTTCGGCCAAACTAAAGCTAAGCCTTAAATGGAGTGCCCAGCGTGGTGCGTCGAGCACTGGTGAGGCAAAGTACTTGGCCACACCATGGTTTGGGACATGAAGTTGCTTTCTAAGAGCACTTGCACCTATACCATCTACAAGACGAAACAAGGGATTTTTTTTTCGATTTAAAGTTTTCGTGACTGCAGGGATTCCTCTTCTTGCTTCTTTCGGTAAAGTCACGTAAAAGGGAAATAATAAAATAATAAAATTAAAAAATAATATAATTCTCACGACGTTTCGGCCACAACGCAAGCAGCCGTCCTCAGGTGAAGAACAGGTCTGTCGGCCATTCAGACGCTGTCTTTCCAAGGGATGTTTGTAGAAAAACATGTTTTAAGGGCTGTGAATTAGCTTTACACGTGAAATATGTATTATTGATTTATATACTGTATGTTATTAAGGACCGATGGATCACTGGGTTCACTCAGGCAGTGTTTCGACAAGGCATGGCTTGCTGATGACTCCCATTGGCCATTGAGGTCCGCAACCGACTTGTACATCCTGCTACACGCACGTCATTGTCCTGCAGTGGGTGGGTGTCTCACTTTGGTTTTCTTCGCTGCGACAACTACCAAACCACCCTTCCAAAATTGCTGGATTACATTGTAGGCGTGCGTCACGACATCCGGTACTGCGCGTCCCATGCCTCGCCCTCGTAATTTTTAACCGTAATGACCCCCGAGACTATCCTGGCATTTGGGCCCTGCGTAATGGTCGAGAATTGTTGTATTATTATTAGAAAAATAGACGCAGGTGGCTTTTAAGCCACGTAATTTTGGGCTCACTGAGCAATGTAAGCAATGGGTGCAGAACATCAATTATAGGGTAAAAACAGCTTAAAGCACTCCTTTCCAGTGACACTGGCCATTCATCACGAAACGCTTTACAGGCCAAGGGAATGGCTATGTGGAACATCAACAGCCTCAATAGTACCACCATTATGACATTTTCTATACACCGTTTTTAACACCATGACATCACCTCAAGCTGATACACAATATAAATCAAAGTTGAATTGTTTCCAGCTCTGATAAGCCACAGGTCAGTGCTCTCCTCCACGAGAAGCCCTCAACCATTGGTGAGAATTCTACATTCCCTCGGCAGTGGCCATGAGATAATCACATTTGACTTCCCATGAACTGGTCCAAATTGTATTGATCTCAGATAGATAAAAGGTTAATATGGTCCACACATTAGGATTTTAACTCGCATTCCAATTACATCTAGGTGTTCTAACCAGTGTCACCTCGCCAGGAGATACGCATATAAACTCCTTTTTAAATACATCTCAAGTTTTTAAATCACTCAAGGCTCATTTACAATGCACTATAGTTAATATTTTTTTGGCTATCAGATCAAGATGTTATCATGGCCAACGCCATTGATGCCACCATCTATTAGCAATGCAACTTCTGGCAAGAGAAGGCAGCAGTGACTGTGCTTGCTTCCAGGTTCTGGTCGTGGAGTGTATGGCTGTATGGAGGCTGCATCTCCGAGTGTCATCCTTTGATGCCTGTTTTTTTCTGTTGAATAATTTAGTTATATTTCTATAAAGATGCGTTTTAGTGGTTAATTTCAGTTGGTTGTGTGACTATATTTCAAAGGTTAAATTATACAGAGGATGCTGATGGGAATGAGGCCTACTCGTTTGGCTAGTCTCAGTACTCGCACATGGATAGGGGAATTAAAGGCCGACGTGATCTGTTGATAGTCATCTGTGGATTGGCAAAGAAAGGACACCAGACGCGTGATGGAAGAAGTGAGGCAGGGTTATAACCAGGGATATGCTCTCTGCTTCCAGGTCCTGGTAGTAGTCTACGGCTGTATGGGGACTGCATATGCGAGTGTGATGCTATGATTCCTGCTTTCAAGAAAGTGTTTGTTTATTTGGAATGAAGAGCCTTCGATTCATTCTCTTAACCTTCTCTACAACCATTGGGCAAACTAGTTGAGAGTATAACATCATATATTTTAAGGACGTTTGTCCTGAATTCTACCAGTTTCCCATCATCCCCACAAGCTCATTCTGATTGTCAAAGTTGTGTCCATTGGCACCTGACCCAAACATTTGCTGTCCCTACTGTCTCCAATATTTAGTTCTCCAAGACTCTCGCGTTAATTTGTATTGGTAAATGTTTCTAAAATGTGATAATATAATTCTAAAGTAAACTGAAGGAACCTGGGCAGGAAATATTATTGTAATCAGCCTTGTTTACTCATAAATTATGATCGAGCCAATTTTTCTGGACTCACTAAACGTCTTATCATTCTTTAAAATATTGTATACATATTGGTAAATAATGGCAAAACATTTCAGGATAATAGCATTACTAGTTTTTGTAATATCCTAGTGTGAAAATGCCCCCCAAAGCACTTTCGTGAAATCAGATCATTGATCCCCCCTCAATGTTTAAATTGTCATTCTGACTGAAAGAATTTAACTGAAAATTAAATATGGCCTGGTTCTACAGTACTAAAGCACAGAGGACAAAAGGAAAAGCATGGAGACGGTGACGCTGAAAGGTCCTCCCCAATCTCTGGGCGAATGACCCATCTATTCACTGCCTTTATTATAAAGGCGTGAAAACAACAGCCCCTCCCTAATTAAATCCAAACCGATTTTCCCTGGAGTGTTTTCTGATTATAGAGCAACATTCTGGTAAATACCTTACCTGGAATGCGCAACAGACGTATCACCAGTTACTGGACTTATCTTATTTTTATGTAGTGGCATGACTGCCTTCAGTTGTGGCAGCTGTTCTCTATTCCAAGCAGTGCTACCTTGTGCAACTCCTCCGACATGCAATGGCCACTTTCAGCATTTTAGCAGACACATTTCCATTGCCTTACCTGCTTTCATCTGCTTTACTGTTGTTTCAACCTCTAATCTGGTGACCTCTGGCTACAGGGTAGTCAGAATATGGTAATACAAGTAGTTTGCTGGATTTTTCACATATGTAAATATTTGAGTGTTGTCTTCATAATAAACGTTTTTGGGTTAGATCGCGTTATTTATAAATGTGTCGTAACCCTCCACCACTCGACACGGTCCAATCAGCAAAAAAAGTGTCACGTTGACAAAAGACAAACTAGTTCACTACTTTAGCCCACCGGTGTGTTGAAGCGTGAAGGTGTCGGGTGGTGGAGGGTTACGACACATTTATAAATAACGCGATCTAACCCAAAAACTTTATTATGAATATTGGTCGCGAAAGCCTACATGTTAAACTGAGTGTTATCTTGTTTGCAACGGTTTCATTCAGTTATTCCAGTTTCCTCTGGTCAGCAATGCTCAGTCGAGCGATAGAAACCTGCCTTGTCAGGAGTCCAACATCTTTCAAGGGGTTGTCTTATTTCCTTCCCTGGATAGCACTCTTCATATGTCCAGTGAAGTTAATGGTTTTTTTCTGTGCCTATTTGCCAAATAACCCATTAGAGAAAGATGAAATATAGTGAAAATCCAAATTTAATATTGTTTTTTGTGTAGTTATTGAATACTGAACTAGGTTTATTCATGAGCAGCTGAAAATTATGATCAAAATTAGAATATCAGTTGTGTTGCTTCTGTGTTTCAAACAACCACCAGGCACCGAGTCACCTGGCCATATCTAAATGCATCATCTTTAATTGTGTGACTACCATGATCTCAAAAAGAGACAAGCATCCAGTCTTACCAATCAGTTTTATTTTCATTATACCAGACAATTTTTGTCCCATCAATTTGTTCACTTATGATTGTGCGAATAGTGTGCATGCATTTCCCTATTATAAATACAATACAATGAACAAGCAACTCGATTTGAGAACAACACTTGCACACTTCATAATTTATGTATTGTATGGCGAATTTGCACATTAATAAAGAGAAAAGCAGTTTGAAAACTTTGGCAGGTTATTATTTTACACCATATACAAAGAAAACCGAATGAGGGAAACAATGCATGCAGCAACATCATGAATAAAGTTCAAATTATAAATTGACATTGCTATCATACAAACAGTTCAAAGGACGTTTCCCATAAACAATATATATACACACACATGCAATACTGTATATTAAGGCATTAAGTACAGCGAAACTACAAGGAAATTAAATTGAGGATCAATAATTTGGTTGGAACTTTATTGATCCAATATTAATCAGTCTAAACTGACGGCCTACAACAAAGTGTTAATACAAACACGGAGGTAGTTGAGAACTTTGTAATCTCGGTAATAACGTAACATGGATCATTTAAGAAGAGAGGACAGGGTGTATTGCAATAACCTGGTAGATGTTTCATAGTCTAAATAAAACCAATTATGTCTAAGTTTGGAATAAAATCCTGCCTAAATGTATTCTAGATATAATTAGGGAGAGGTTGCAAGGAGAGGGACGTGTGTAGGATAGGAGGGGAAGTTACACCGTCATTAGTGGCACTGAGGAGTGTGTCGCAAATGTAAAGACCTAAAGTCAGTTGTTGGGATACTTTCAGGAAACCTTGGATTTCAGGTTTTGATTGTTCAATAGCTGTGAGATCATGGAGAAGGAAGCAACGGTGAGGTGCAGTGGCAATGGTCAGGATTAACTGTTTCCCTTCGTTAATGAAGCCACATAAATTCCTTTTAGTATGGTTAACGAATATATATCACAGCACTAAAGCACAAATGTTGTTAATTATGCTGGCTTAATAACACCAGCAAAATTAAGTATGTTTGACACAACACTGTCGAATCTGGAGTTAATTAAATTTCCTTGCATTTTTGTTGTAACTATTCATACGAACACTGGTGGAGCCAGTGGGGGCAGAAGGGGTGGCATGTGCCCCCCCAATGATCCGATCGAAATCCCTGATTTAGATCGGATCACTGGGGTTTATTAGTAATAAATCGGCATTTTGCGACCCCCTCTGCCACTGTGTAGCATATTATTATGTGCCAGGGAATCTATGAGATGATAGGACAATAGTCTGAGTCCATAATTTGAAATAAGTAACGGCAAAGCAGTTACAAGTGACTCAGAATTGTGCGCAGTTGCGTATGGAGTACACGACTTCCCTGAAGGCATTCACCTTCAGCGAGCACGATGCCGATCACACGGTTCGAATTCGACCCTCGATCGATGGGCTGCGCTATCGCCGCGCACGCGTCGAATAAAAAGCAAGGGACAAGTCCTTACTGACTAACAACTCCTATCATTTTTCATTGCTGGAAAGGTTGCCCCCCCTCGCCCGAACTGAAAATCCTGGCTCCGCCATGGCATACGAGACCCGCCTTATAGACATAACATGTTAAACGTCTGTGCAAATTGTACATCACTGTGCAATAAACTTTGAATATTTTCACGCATCCTTTTGCAGAATCGTGTAAACAAAAATACCCTAAAAGATTACGCGATATCTCATGACCTGTACGTCAGAGGTCATCACAAAAACGTAAACACAATGACCAGAAATGGTCTTCACCTCGCAACAGCAGCAATAGAATATGGCTCTGCCAGTCCCTGCACCCACTGGCTGATATGAGCTTAACATTCCTGGGGTTGAACCATTACCTTGATCTGTGAACTTAGTGAACATTCATTTTGAAAGACATGAGTGGAAGGTATTTACCATCTCCCCAATCAGACACCTTATCATTGGATAGTGTGGGGACGTATTCACTTGCCACCGAGCGAGTTTTCTAAGGATTGATTTCTACTACAACCACCTGGGAAATTCTGTGCAAAGTTACATAATTCACAATAGGTCCACTGTATTCCAGTGCAATAACCTACATCTGAAACCGGATATAACCTGGAATTAGTAAGAGAGCACTTGGTATGTCAACAGTGATCACCCTATGGATAGAATGACCCCTGCCATGGGTATGTGGAATTTCCACTATGGAGTCAGGGTTGCCAACAGAGATTAATGTATTCACAGTGCTCCTTTAATCAAGGAAACACTGACGTTTTAAATTCGAATTGACTGAGCTATTGATCTAGGCACTTAACAGCCTCTGGATGGAGCACACACACTCAAGGTCTTCATATTCTTCAAAATTGGCCCCCATAACAAATGTTGAGTTTGGCCAATGGCTCGAGGCTGCCATTGCAGATAAGCACTACCGCATGGTTTGTTGAGTAGAAAGGCATTTAGCTCTTTACTTGATTTTGTCATGAAAAATGTTATAAAGATGAACACATTTTATTTGACTAAAAAGTAACTTTATGGCATAGACAATGCTCACACCTCTACACAATGCCCTAGCAGTGTCTTTGAAGCCAAGTGTGTACCACCTTTGATGCTGTGAAGAACTCTCTATTTTGTAGTGATTGTTTAGGATTCATTCATCATGTGCATCTATCGATGCAATGCAGGTGTCCTGTGCATTCAGAAACGGCATATACAACTAGCTTGAACAGGAAAAAAATGGCCAGTCTTCAAGATACTGGAAGCACATTGCACTGAATGAAAGCCTTCATAATCAGTTATTTTTTGTAAAATAATTTTTCAGTTTACTAAAAACAAATTATTAATTTGGTGTAACACAAGCAAACTAAGGATGTGTTTGCCATATAAATAATCAGTTATGTTTTAACTGTTTCCAGTATATATGCTTTCCACATGATTGGGGCAATTTGTCACAAAGTTTTGAGTTTAAACCTTGGCCAGCATTGATTCGACTTCTTGCCATCACCGGTCATTCTTAATAAAGCAGATTCACTCAGTGGGAAATCACAAGTGGATGTCCTATGGAGAGAATGGCCACACGAATGTGGAATTTCCACCTGTGGCTCAGAACTGCTACTTTGCGATGATTGTCACCGAACACTCGGCAAGATCAATTTATGTTTTTGACTGCATGTACTGAGTATAATCCACAATATTATCCATTATGACAGTATATGTCATTTTATCACAAGGGATCTGGCTGGATATTCGTATTGCTAAGAGCAAATGACTCACAATTGGAAAGTTGCCGGTTCAATCCTGGCCAGGGATCAATACATCCCATCATCCCTCAAGTGTTGATAAGATAGGTACAACTTTTTTGAGAAGTCAACAGATGTGTTGAATAGAGAATTGTACAATGGTATCCATTGGCTCAGGGCAGCCCAAGGAGTTGAGCATTGTCTATTGTTCATTTGAACATGAACATCATTTAACTTGACTTTGAATTTGTCATAAATTACATTATTATTTAGGAATGAATAGTAAATGTGCACAAAATGTAAATCACTGGCTTGAATTTTTTCCCAAAATATTTAAATTACAAATTCTAAAGCCTCCTACATCACTCACCATCTTCCTATGTTTCAAATGATCAACAATACCACACCTATGGATGATTATTTTTTCAAAGAACACAGAACAAAAAATAGTTTAAGGAAAATATTCTTTCATGCATCAACTTTGAGTTTCTGACAATACATTTCTCTCCACAGTGGCTGATACTTGTGGGCCTGACTCTCTGACTTCCATCATCTCAGAGAGAACAGCCATGCCATTTGCCAGAAACTCAAAGACAAGGGATGTCCGAAATCCCCCTTTAAGTCACCAACAGCTCCCATAAATACCACATCTAAAATGCTCAATTTCAGGAACAGTGTAAGATATAATTGTAGGCAGCGGTTTCAGGAAGTATCCATCCAGTGCAGATTTCGCCTTGGGTGCTGTAGTGAAAGAAGGCCTCCTGGTCACATCTCAGCCCTCATACATGGGTGGTCTATGACAAGTACACAGACACGTGAAGTCGATGCAGTTGGTGGGAACTTAGAAGTCTCAAGGCGTAGCAATGCCTACCAGCGTCCCACCTGAACGCCGGGCAGTCTGTACACCACGTGGCACCGCAAGTCGACTTTACCGCTAAACTGGCGGTAGCCCCATTAACAAGTGTCATCTTCCCAACCCCCCCCCCCACCTTCCTTTTACCATTCAAAAAATTGTCGTCAGGGGCTGCTTGAGTACGGGAATTCAGGTATGGCTTGTGAAGGGCCCAGTGTGCTCCTCGGGTCTGCAGTATCTCTGCATGGTCCTCAGCTCCCGTCTCACGCACTTAGGGCAGGGCACCGTGCTGCCCTTGCAGGCTTTGTGGAAGACGGCTTGGCATCGATCACACCTGCAAAAAACACATTCTGTCAGTGTCCCTCTTGCTAACATTGACCACATCACGCGCAGGGAGAAACGCAGTACTACGATGGTGGCAACAAGGCCTTTTATTTTCAGCCATCTGGCCTGGGGTAGTGCTGTGGTTGAAGCGCTCGAATTGCAATTGAAATGTCTCAAGCTGAAATCCCTGTAGGGAATTTATTCAAGCCATCATGCCTTCAGGATCGATGAGATTAGTACAACTTTGGGGGGAAAAGTCAGCAGTCGTCATCCTCAAAAAGTAACCTCCACCATTGCTAGAAGCATGTAGAATTTTCACTGCTGACTTGTGGTTACTAACAGAGATGCCCAGTTGAGCATGGAGACAAGTATTCTTTTTTTAATTTGCACACATTTTATGATTTAGAGTATTTACGCGAGTTTACTCAGGACAGCCTCACCGAGTCTCAAGACTCATTTTGAGGAGGGTTCTGCCAAGTTTTCTCAGGAGGCGTGCAATGTGTTTATGAGTAATATCAATTTAGTTATTTGCAGGTAACAATTGCCTAGCAAACAACTGGTCTTGTATAATATGCAAATCAGTGATCTATATCTGTGCACATGAATATGCATTTAACATTGCATGTAAATGGTAGGAAATTGATACGAACAAAACAGCATGCAATTAAATTGACGGTGCAGTTATGCAGAAAGCACTTAAGTGAAGATAACTGCATATATAAAATAAAATGGCGGACAAGATTTGCTGGGAAATCTAAACTCTAACCATTTAATTACCATTATACCATGGTTCTCAGTGACAGTCTGCATCTGGGTATGGCATACTGATGAGTCCTTATGTGGGAATAGTATCCAAAACTTCCATGCAAGGGAAAATAAAAATAATGTATTTATAAAAAAAGGTATGTTGGTTAAAATATTGAATCACTGCTTGTTCATAGGTACAATGGAAAAGTTACAATGATTATTTTAGAATAATTCTTATATTTGGTATATGGGATATAACACCAGCATACGTTGGCCTACTTTTACAAATTGTTATGTAGGGCTTCAGTAATTCCCCAAAGTTGCTGAAGTAGGAACTGATCTTCCAATTGTGTGCAAACTGGCTCAGTAGCGATTGCATTGAATGCGAGGCTATACAGCCCACTTCACCATTGCAAACTTTCTTTACTGAATCCTTGATGGGATTGCTGAAAGTCAACAGATACACTTTAGTATTACTGAAAAAAATATAGACAATCAATCCCCATTGCAGTTAATTTCACCAAGTTTGCTAAGTGTTAATCTTAACACCCGGGTGCTGTCAACTTTTGAAACTTAGCACAGCCGTTGTCACGATTAAGAGTTTTTAAAGAGGCCAGCACCTTCCGATGACAGATTTACCGACATTCCTAATGCTAGTGTGACAAGTGCACACAGGCAAGCACACACACACACACACCCATTTGTGTGTGTACATACATACTGACCTGCGTGTAGGTATGTCACCTTAGCCAACACTTGCAAAATAGCCACATACAAGTATACATGCGAGGCACTGGCATAAACTCACCAAGTTAACATTTTTAGGACTCGTGCGCTAACACACAAGGACAAAAATTTCCCTCTTAGCTTTGGGGAAGAGCATTGAGAGAGGACCTACTGACGAAGGGGTGGTTGCCAGCACCATGCACGCTCGGACACCTTTGTCTGACATTAACACACCACACTCACCCATGAATTAACATTAAGTCAGTGAGAGGGAGGTCAAGATCTGATAACACTTGTGAACGTGTACAGCTGGGAATAAAAACTGCACGGCTGGGATCATAGGGCAGCAGTGGATGAACCACTATCCTAACGCTCCTGATATATACACACACAATGATCCCCCGTATAGCCTTAACAGACTGTAGGGGCAAGTGCTGTTAGCGAGCACCTATGAAGGCCGGCACGGCATACGAGGGGGTGGGTGGCCAACACCATGCCCGGCCACCTTTGTCTGCCCAGTGGCGATGTTTACACATCGTACCAGGTACTCGTTTGAGGCTGAGTCGACCTAGGGGAGGCCCAGGACCAGTTCAGATAATCGTCACCGGTGATGGCTGCGAGCGGGAATCGAACCCGGGTTCGTAGCGCAGCGCGCTAACCACGACACTGCCGCTCCCCATACACACACACACACAAGACACACACATGCATTGACAAACACACACGTACCCTTAAGAAGTTAGGACTATGTTTTCCCTGCATGGAATTTGTTGAACCATTTCCACTGGTTCAGTCCTGAATTCTCTGTTCACATTGGGTCACTTTCTTCTTGCCAATGCCAACCGGCATGACCAGATGGGGTCGTGCAAACAAACGGGCGAGTGTGGGGGAGGAGGGAGAAAGGGGGTGACAGAAAGAGGGAGAGAAGGAAATGGGCCACCTACGCCAAGGCTTGTAGGACCACACAATAGCCTTTGTTTTGCCTTGTTATTGTGGTAGTTAGCAACGGGTCTTAGCCTAATGGTTGTTCACACAATGGTGCCAAATTCAAAAGAGCACTCCCCAAACATGGGCAGCATTCAGGCAAGCATTGATTTATTCGTCTCCTTTATTTGACCAGGTTAGAGTCCATTGAATTACACAGTCTCCTAGGCCTTATGTTATATTAGGATGGCTATTATTATTGTTTTTTTTAAGTCAAAAGTATACCCTTGATTATCTCGAATGATGGCCATAAGCTAGTGGTGGTAATTCCACATTACTATGGTAGAGGCCAGTCTCTCTGGAAGGACAACAATAGACATGTTATACCTGGTACACTTTGTATCGCCCACAAAGGGATGATGGGCCGAGTCAAAACTTGATGGGGAGCTTAACTTAAGGCCTTCTGAATGTGAATGTTCTCCAAACACAGTTCCACCTACTTAAATAATAAAAACACATCTGATCTGCAGTCTATAATGTCACTTTACAGCAGAGAGCACACATTGGTTTTCTTCCTCAGAAATTACCAGGGCACCATCATAGCAATTCAATAAATATCTCAATATATTGGCTTTGTCTCGACGTTGCTGATGTTAACACACAGTACCAGTCACTCATGTAAGGCCGAGTCAACCTAGGGCTGGCCCAATTGCCACTGAAGCGCAAAGGGTAAAATGCAGGATGCTGTGATCGCATTACGAGCCACCGTGTCACTGACCTGTACATACGTACTCATATACACATACGCCCAACCATACACATGATTTCAGTAGAAATGGAGAATAAAAACTGACAAGAGGAGAAATTATAATAGATAGTTGCTACCTAGTATTTTTTTTATATTCTTGGGTCTTTCGGTAAAGTCACATTACCAGGACACCATCATAGGTTCAAATAAAGTAACAAAAATAACAAAAAACTACGACCTTTCGATCGCAACACAAGCAATCGTCATGATGATGATTGCTTGTGTTTTATTGTTTTATTTTAATTATTTTATTGTTTCTCTTCTACTTGACTTTACCGAAATACCCAAGAATATGAATTCATGCAGTCACGAAAGCTTTTTGTTTTTTAAGAAAACATCAAGAAAGCTTTAAGTCAAGATTTCTACTGATTTTTGTTCCAAGCATTGTTAACGAGCTCCTAATAACATTGAAACTGCATAATTGTGCAAAATGTATCCAGTATCACTTCTAGCAGCCTTAGTCTCCTGTTTGGTAATGGTCACCACACCACACTAAATATGGAAATTTTAGGCTAAAGATGACAGTGAAGAAACAACACTACACTCATGTAAAATTAAACACGCTTAAATTTCCCTATGACATTGAATGTGCCAGACTCACAATACGGTGATGTACAGTCACTGGACAGATGTTAATATACAATGTAATAAAGTGATTCCTCAATTGATGCCTTACTATATTTAATGATAGAGATTTAGACTTAGAAAAAGAGGATTATATTGATCTGCAGAGTATTTATGTGACAATGGTGAGGAAGTAAACTTTTGAAATATTTTACCGCATTATTAATTTACAAGTGTTCTGTGTGCACGAGAGTGTACATTTATACAGCCCAGGCATGGATCCTGTTGCCTGAATATGAATACATGCATTTACATATTCACACAATAATTTGTGGGTTTTACCGGTCTGCGCACATTTAGGTACGTCATAAAGATCACGACTCCATTAGAAACAATAAGAATCAAAGTGAACGGGATTTTAATTAATAACCAACTATGGGTGACTTACAAATATATACGAATGGATCTTTCACAATCATCAGACAATAGACCTTCTCAACCAATGTTGTCCAGCAGCTGTTTTCCTTTAGCGAAGTGTGGATAGCTCTTGTCTATAATTTCAGGCGACTCCGTAGCATTTGTTTAACAGATCCTGATGAAGCCAAGAAAGTTTAGACGGATCAAGGGTTTGCCTGCTTAAACAAATGCTGCTAGAAAACACTATTCCAGACTGCTCATATCTGATGGTGGTGAAAGAGACCCTTTTAAAACTTAGTTTTAATGTTGCTTGCCACAAAGCTAAGGGAGAGCACTAGTTTTGTGTTTATATATACACCACACCCAGCTCAAATATATAGATTATACCATTTTCCTGCTCAATGAAGAAATGTGGCATCACTCACATCAAGCTTTTAAATATAGCTTTACTCTCAACGTCCTCACTACTGCCACCAGCCTCTACCTGACCTTGCTTAGCTATTCTGCCCAGAAAAGTGGTGCCCTCCATGGATCAGTCACTTTGCTGCAGACGGCTGCAAGATGGAAGGTATAGGAATGTGGAAATGGAAAATGTGAGGGAATAAAGCCATGCACTTCACAGGGCTGTGATTGAAAACTGGCCAGCTTGTAACACATTACAAAAATGTATATTCAGATCCAGGTTCAGCAAATTAGCAGCGTCAGAGCTATACCCACCGAGTGGTAGAAGACACCTCGAAGGGGTAGATTATTTCAGAGCTGTTGCAGATTTCACAGATGAAGCCCTTCTGGCTGCAGAGGCCACACGAGTAGACGTGGTCGGACGCAAACTTGATGGTCTTGGCGAGGAATGGGGCGAACCGACCATCGATGACCTGAGGAGTGCAGCTTTTTGTTAAGCAAGGCCGCAAGCGAAACGTGAAGACAAAGAGAAACACGGCACGGCTATTTCTTGTGACCTCCACTGACCCACGCTCCACCCAGTGTCCACTTTCCCATGTCAGCTGATCTATCTCCATTCAAATGCAAAAAAGGGATCATCGATTCATTTGTAAATTAGCTTACACACATTATCTGCTGATAAGGAGACACTGGATGCTTAGGTGGTGGATTCAGGTGAAAAAAACTGGTTGATTTTGGCAACCATATAATACACTTTGCTTTGCTGACTCAGAATCATTTGCATGGGCTGGCAATTGTGTGCGATGTCATATGCCAAGTTGTACATGTGAGCAATTAAATATAATTATATAAGCATTAACTTTTTGAATGTAACTGCAATCATCTAGGTGATCTTTTGCGAAAAGAAAAGAAACATATTTTAAAGGAATAAGAAATTTGCACCATTGGCTTTGGGCCACCAACGAAGATAAACACTGGCCAATGTTACTTATGGCATAATATAGACATGTATAACCTATTACAAAATACAGGTAGTCCTCTACTTACGATAGAGATGCGTTACTACGACCCCATCGTAAGTAAAAAAGAATGGTGATAATTTAGCAAAACAGAGCAATTTACAGTACCGTACTGTATAAACTATATACTGTATGTATTTATTAATTACAATACTGTATTGCACAGTAAAATGTAAAGTAAAAAAAACGAGGTAAATTCTTAGCCTACCGATATGAACTGCAATTTAATAAAAAGTTTTTTCAGGAAACAATTCTATCTGCTATAAAAACTTTGAACGTATCGTATCGTGGTAACCCTAAAATGAAATCGCTAAAGCTACGTATCATACATGCATTGAACATATCGTTCGCTGCTGCGTTTGCCTGCCGCGCAAAATTAAAAATATTTAACAATTTTGTCGTATCGCTATCCCCATCGTAAGATTGAAATATCGTAATTCGGACCATCGTAAATCGTGGACTATCTGTAATCTAATACTCATCAAATTTCGAATGCTAAGGAGGATTGAGCCTGGATGGTGCTTGGATGGGTGACCACCATGCATAACAGGTTGTCATAGTGGTGCATGTCCGAATGGTAGCCAGCAGAGGGCAGTGCGGCAAAATGCATTGCATTGCCCTGTGCTCACTTGTCTATGCTCCCCACCTTCATCAACTAGGACTGACCAGTTTGGTGAAGTATGGTGAAATAACATCCACGACCTGAATGGTGTGCAGATGGTCCTCATCCACAACGGACTGAAATAAGGGCTTTACATGTGGACATGTACATACACCTTTATAAACTTTAGAGACAAAATATATTATTTTAGGGTATTACTGTATAGAAAATTGTAAAAAGATCTTATCAACAATTGCCAAACATGCCATTTTTATGACAAGTGAACTTGGTGTTGAGCGATAAATGAGAATGTACACATTTCATCTCTAAAGAAACATGTATAATTGGTCCAAAAAGGCATGCAAACTACTATACTGAACAAGCATCATATCTCATTTTCAGCCAAATTTGAAACATCTGCTCGTTCACAACAAAATGAAAACAACCCTGTCACAATTTACTCCATTCAAAGTCATGTCAAAGTGTCTTCAAGCTCAAACTTCTTGGTGGCCTTTTCCATGAGTGGAACTCCACATTTCTATGGTAGGGGCCAGTGTCACAAAAGGATTTCCATTGCCGAGTCTGCTGTCTACCCCCTCTTACCATTATTGTGGAAATATTTTAATTGGGCAGTGACACATGCATGGTGGTGCGATCCTGCACTCTGGTGCATTGGACAAGAGGTTATGGATTGTTTAAGGGACATGATGTGCATGAGACATCTGACCTACTTGTATGGTTTTTTTTTCTTATCCCCCTCCCCAACATAACAGTTATTCTCTGATAAATTCTTGCATCACACATGTGACACATGATTTAATAAGTTGGCCAAACATACTAAACCAAGTTCCTATTGAAAAAGTGTCTTGAATCTCAGTTAGGCTTTCCTAGATAAATAAACGACTTACTTAGTTTACTTTCTGATCAGCAAGCTAGCCCATATGCTACTTTAGCTGACCGTACAATGTTTTCAAGTGAAAACCATGAAACGGACATTGAACATAGCTGTAAACCCTAATCATTGAAATGTGCACCAGGCAAACTAAATTTTGTTTCCAAGAACCAGAGAACCTTTGGGAAGGCGTCAATGTTCAAAATGCTAAGTTTTGCCATCCTGAGTTGAACCTGTATAGCTTGCCATCACATAGGGCCTAATCTCAAACTGTTGATAGCTAAGGGGTAGTACTTTAAGCTAAGCAACACATGTTAACTTTGAAGTCAGGTAGAAGACAGTCAAATTGTTTGGTAATAAGGCACCAAACAAACCCACAGTAGAGCCATGATCACTGGTAATAACCTGTATACTTTTTTCACAATAACCACAGAATCGTCAAAGAATAAAGCCAGTGGTGATGCCTCTAAAAAATCTGCTGCTAAATCTCCACAAAGCAGATGTCTTAGATTTGCAAGCCAAGTCAAAGTGTATCAGTGTTCAATTGAGCGTTTTGTGTTACTCATCTCCATTGGCAATCTTTAGCTAAAGTGAAAATTCCACATTGCCATGGCATGAGTCAGTCTCTGCAGAGGGTGACCATCATTCATTCCTCATAAAATGATACTCATTTAAATCAACCCAGAGGGGTGATGGATTAAGCTGAACCCCTATCTGACACACCTACTAAAATAAACCCTTGTGTCCATCCGCTTTGTGGGGATGTTAAATGTGAGTCGAGCACTCTAACCAAAGCTTGGGAAATGGAATATAATTACAAAATGAGAATTGTAAACAGGACAACCCAAACAGAACAATAAATGCTGTGCCATGACAAAAGCTAATAAGGGCTGCTTTGATGTGGAAGCTTGTGTCGATGGATTGATTAAGGAAAGAAGCACTTTACATATTAATGTTAATTGTTTAACTCTGTGAAATAATGCATATCCTTGAATTTGAGATGATAATGAAAGACAAAATAATTCCGGATTTCAGTGCACCCTACCAGTTCTCAAACTGCACCTCGAGGAGCGAAGACGCATACCAACACACATTTCCGCATACCACTACTTCATGTTGTGGTATCCTCTTCATGAAGTGTAATCACGAGGACTCCACATAGTTCCATGTTAATAGCTCTTACATCATGGTAATACAGTTATTAAAATAGCAGCTGGTGTCAACAAAAGGCTTAGACTGAAAAATGATACAAATTTAAATTAGATAACCGAAAGAGCAATGGTGTAGGGCTCATCTTTATTGGCAATACTGAGTCAGTGATTACAATTACATGTTCCTATAGTTTCGACCGGTCCCCATGCAATTAGAACAGCCATGGGCACACAGTTCACCCAGCATTGCGTGTACCCAACCCTTGTCACGTTGATATTTTAATTCACAGTGTGGAGGGTCACTGAAATTGCTGTGACCATGGCTTTTAAAACAAGCGGTAAGCTGAAATCAGATGTCATTCATCTACTGGAATTTTCCTCGGCTCCATTTACCAAACGCTTAACCAGTCACGAACATGGGAGTGTGTTGTTTTAGTGTAAAAAAAATTGAACGATGACACGCTTCAATGGCGAGTCCTCATCAAGTTTCCTTACGCCTGCTTCAGCTTCCCAGCAGAGATGGAAAGAAAAATGAGCTAGCACGAGTTTGGAATGGACTTAAATGGTTACGCCTGTCATGAGTGTACTAATGAAATGTGCAGGCTGTCCCAATCACCCCTGTCCAGCTCAAGAGTGATTTTTTTTAATGCATAGTATGTATGGATATCTATCTATTAAGTCCACTTTGTTCACCTTTGTGGGGTTGAGACCAGGTCAACGGTATGCAGTTAGGCGGAGTGTGCTTATAACTGGAGCTTACGCCGTCAAACAATATCTGTGCTCATTAAATAAGACGATAGTACACAGCTCTGCGAGCCAATTCCCATGTTATGCTATGATGTGGGAAGGAACATAACCAGTGACTCTGTCGCAGATCAATGGATTACACAACAGGCAGTTGGGATGCATTTAGGTCAGAATCGCTGTACTTGCCTGAAAATCCATGAACGGTGGTAAGGTCAACCTCCTGTATCTATCATTGCCGCCATCCATAGTTTAGAGCAATGGCGCATACAACTTCCTAAGCACCTGTTGCGAGCGAGCCCGTCACGGCACTGCTGCTGTCCTTATCGGCCGGAAGGCAGCGACAAGAGCCCGCATGCCACTGTAACTGAGGGACAAGAGCTGTTTAATAAACTGTGTTGTTTTTTTCTGCCAGATTTGCAATTAAAAGGTCAGTTTTCACAACAAAGACTGTACACAGCAGGCAGGGCACACGTGCAACTTTGACACGGGCCCTAATGACTGCTATGCTAAGGCTTGGCGGCTCACATATAATGAGAGGGCATGACTGTCAAAAGCAAATAACTGGTTACCTGTGGCTTTGCCACTTGAAATTGGTTTCCTGAGTCTTTGGCAATACCACTGATCCATAAGAATCCCGAAGGTGCTTTAATCTGGCTCTCAGCCCTGGGTAAAAACAGGAAACCCTAAAAATCCTAATATGTCTTTAGTTTTAGAAGATGCAGGACTTAATAATGAGTTCTAAAAATCATAAAAAATGCCATCGTCTGAATCCTAAATATGCCCTTAGACTTTGGCTTGTTGCAACATGAGGATTCTATGATACATAGTAAAATGTAGCATTTTCGCCTTTTCAAAGTATTGTCATTATGATTACTGCTACTTTATATTTCATATTTTATTTCCTGACAAAAAACATTTATTAAATAACATTCAACCCTACTTATACCAATCTTCTATACTTCAGCAACCGTTAATCTAAAGAGTGAAGCAATGATAATGGTAACCCTTTTGGTCTCCTAATAAACTCAGTGCATGGCTTTTCAACGCTAATTTGCCAAGAAATGGGATGCTATTGAGTCATGGTTACTGTAATTACCCATCCTACTTGGAGGTGGTGATGGAGATTATTATCGTCGGTAAGCTGCACCATGTAGTATGAAATCAACAGCGGTTGTATAATTGGTTAACCGAGTCCCGCCATAATAATACGAAATTTCCTCAAATGGCTCAAGACCACCAACAAGGATGAGCAGATCACTTGAGCACGGGGGAACATTTGAGTGTAGGAGGAAATTCTACTTTGATGTTTTTGTGTATGTAATTACTTTTCTTGTTTTTGTGTTTACACATTTTTAATAGCCGTATTACCTTCAAAGTTTGCCAATTTCATACCAGGCACCACAATTACACGCTTTTCCTCTTTCCCACCAACACAAGTGTATCTTTCCAAATGACTCTGTTCCAAATTATGAATTGTATTATTCCCGGTCTCCTTCAAAAGAATGGCACAGTATCCCAAAACTTACCTGTTTACAAATGAGTGGCAATCATGACGATATTTACTAAAACAAACTTTTATCACCTACATTTTTAAATACTAGACAGAACTTCATTTATACAAGTCCTTTCAAGTCAAGGGTCCTTGGTTACAAATATACCATAGGTTATGATCATTATAGAGTTTAAACAAAAACAACTTTCAAAACCGTTCTACACACTCACTATAGCTGTGCACATAGAAGTTCTTTGAAGTCAAGGGTTCTTGGTTTTCCCAAAACATAACCATTTCCAAGTAATTCTCAACGAGGGATTAGTCAGCACAGCACAAAGGCTGCTCATAGGCCCTTTCTGGCCACTGCACATGAGCAGTATTACCAGAAAATCCAGTTCCATTTGAGCGCTGGTTAACACACAACATAGAATGCGCTTTCAAATATTCAAGGATTGTTAACAATAACCCAATTTTACCTCCGTCTTAAATTGGACAATAACCCACGTGATGTGTTTGTGGTGCATCAGTAAACGAGAGCAATTTTGAAAAGGAACATGCAAAGGATGTTTGTGTAGCCAACTGTGCTAATCGGAGGTGCGAGGAATGACAAACTGAACACAAAAAGCAATTCAAGAAATTCGTTTTCAATCTAGATTTAAAACTGCATAGCGCCAGTGGCTTCCTTATATAGGAAGGATGTGCATTCCAGACGGCCATAGAAGTGCATCTGAAAGCACGCACTGCGTTAACCGTCTTTTGTTCGATACAAATATGCGCCGGTAGCCTGAGCTTGAATTCTGGATCAAATTGGATGTCACGGTATGTTATCAGTTCAGTATTAATCTGGAAGTCCCATTAGTCTAAGGGTTAAATACTAATGAATTTTGTCAACTAAACAAACCCATTGAAATATATTGATTATTTTTATTTTCAACTTTACTGTTAGTTGTTGTTGTGGAATTTACTATGGAACATCAGCCAAAGTGCCATCCATCTCTATCACATTCCACTATTTTGTTTGGACAAGCTGAAGATTAATGTTGTGCACAATCCCTTTCTTTTTCATTCTTCTTTCTGCTGTGCAAGCTTCAGTTGGGATGTGTGAGCAAAGCATTTGCAAAGTGTTATAAGAAATGACCCACTACTTGTTCTGGGCTCATTCATGCAGGACTGTCCCCACTTATTTGTTGGACAGCGCATTCTGCCAGCAATTAGATGCTGGGGGGTGCTTTAATTCAAACTCAGAGCGCTTGGCTAGAGCCGATTTATTTCTGAATATGGCTTGGTGAATGCCCAATTAATATATAAGTTCAATATACATACATACATGTTGGTGGCATCTGCCCATGAAATTCTGGTTAAAGGTGTGCGTACACAACATCTGCATGATGTTGCTATCACATAATAGCATGCATGATATGGCTTGCTCTTGTTTGTCCCGCAGTCCCAATTGGAGAACTTCAGGCTCAAGATTAACTGGAAGATCGAGTCAGATGGGTTCCCTGTAACCTGCGAAATACTGCCGTTATTGCTCAAATCAATCACGTCAAAAGTTCTAGCCACACTGCAGGTATCTGTATTCAAATTATATAAATCAACCATATATAGACAGGATAAAATTACCACCCAAGTTGCAAGCTATACCAGCATGTTACCCACATCTTTTGTGGTATTAACTACTATGTTTTGAAAAACCCTGCAAGAAATGATGTTGCTGATATATATTTCATCAGCTGATCCAGAAAATATGAATTAATCACTTCATTCTAAGTTATCTCATGTGGAACAATTCTTCCTTGGACAATTTCTTAAATTCATGTTATTTTATGAAAACCTATTGCAATATTGATGTAAAACGGGTGTCTTGGGTTGCCAAATTATCTGTGACCCGCCAACCTGACATCCAAAGTGCCGATTACAGTTGTAAATTGTATGTGTCTGTTCAAATGTAGGATTGAGATGGCATTTTTTCAAGAGAAATTTAATATTAATACAGAAAAATACTATCTTGATAAAACAAATAAAGAAAGGTTTTGAATGCTTATTATATATAACTTATATTTTATTTAAGCATGGTGGTCATGAGATGGCAGTGTTGAGTAATTCCTCGAAATTATGGGCTTTTGATACTCAGGCTTTTCTTGGTAAATAATTGACACTATTATCATATTTTAATTTAATTACCATAATTATATAATGTATTTCATGCTATGAGTGTATATACAGATGTACCATGTCTTTTCGAAATTAAGACCTAGATTTGGGGAAAACACAGTGGGGTTGAAAATTCATTTTTACAATTTAGCTGCAATATTAATTTTAGGTGATCGGATAGATCGGTCCCTGAGCTGGCACCACTGAGATCCTGGGTTTGAATCTGAGCAGCTATCTGTGACTTCAAATGGGTTCTTACATTTAGCATCATGTTAAAGTTGATCATGCACTTTCGCTAAATTCCATCACTTAGAATATTGGTTGGCTACGTAACGTATGAAAAAAAGTTCAATATACAGACATGTGGCGATGTCAGAGAAAACGTGTATGAGACAGTGCACTTCCTACTGTGTAAAAAACAACGCTTAGGACTCGAGAAAAACCCCTCTTCCGCAGGCTCTTCTGACACACTGCCCTGTGAGATCTACAATGTGATTCTTGTCTCATGCAACAATGCCAATAGCACAATTAGATTTGGGGAAATAAGATAATACAAATGTAAAAACGATGACGTTATAAAACACGGGCTTTGTCTTTCAAACACCTATGCATGTATTTTACTTCCACTTTCAACAAACAATAAGACGTTGTTTACTGTTACGGATGACAACATTGGACATGGGTGAACTTTGTTTCATGATTGACTGGGGCTCTGTAGCTGCTACTACACATCAAGTGAATTTTCTGAGCGCAGAGCCTAAAAAAAGACCCTGTGTGTACTTAGAGAATAACCGCACCAATCGGGTGGAAGAAACAAGGCTTTTAGTTTGAGTGGGCTAATCAATGTGCTCCCCTTGAATGGTGCTAAAATCAACTTGGTCAAAACCGTGCATTTACTCCTTAAGCTCCTTTGCCCTGGCAGCCTTTGTTCAAATATTGACACCAATAACGCTAAAACCTCCGCTGGTGGATTAAGTCCAATCCACGGCCAATTTAATTTGAAAGCATTTTAAGATTTACATTTGTTAATCTCCTCCATTTACCTCAGAGGGCATTCACTTAGAAACAATCCAATCCCAAATGTAAACAGGAGAAATTGGTGTGGGATAGTACTTGAAATAAGTATTAAACTATAACCTCCTCATGTATTCATAATCAACGTTTTTGGGTTTAGATCGCGTTTATTTATAAATGTGTCGTAACCCTCCACCACCCGACACGGCCAATCAGTAAAAATGTGTCACGTTGACAAAGACAAATAGTTCACTGCTTTAGCCCACCGGTGTGTTGAAGCCACAACATTTACAAATTTCAACACACCGGTGGGCTAAAGCAGTGAACTATTTGTCTTTGTCAACGTGACACATTTTTACTGATTGGCCGTGTCGGGTGGTGGAGGGTTACGACACATTTATAAATAAACGCGATCTAAACCCAAAAACGTTGATTATGAATAACATTGGTCGCGAAAGCCTACGTGTTAAACTCCTCATGTATGCATGTTGAACTTATTTCGCACCATATATAGCCAACCATACCAATCATAAGGCATTATAACTGAAAAAATATATATAATAGGTAACAGCATAACTTGACAGAAATATCACATCTTTGGCACAGGGGTAAAAGGCAGCCATAGCTATAATGACTGACTTAAGAGTTGGAGGGAGCATATTGCTCTGAGGATATTTTAATGAAGTCGATATGAAAAAAACTAAAATTAATAGATAATCGTGGAAACGAAATATATTGAAATAGCGATAACATGACGTTACATTTTAAGTCAACAAATATACCAATTTAAAAGTGAAAAACTGCATAAAAAGGAGGTTAAAACCACTTAAAATGTAAAAGCGGAGAAGTTTTGTCTATTTAAATGAGCTTGGGGTGGTGGCTCGTATTCATTGGTGACTATAGCAATGGTGTAAATTTCACATTTGCACGATGAGGGCACATTTCTCAATAGGACAAGCACTAATGCAGTTGAATACTTAACGGTACACACATTTGATTCTATTGACAAGTGGCTCATCCCACTTGTGATACTTTTCAAATGTATTGATGGGGGGGGGGGGGGGGGGGAGTTGTGAAAGATGCCCTTTAGGGTCTGTAAACCTCTTGTACACTTCGCAGCAGTGACATTAAAGTGGGCACCTGTACATTTCATTATGTGGAGTGGAAAAGGTGGTTGTCATTACCTGTTGGAGGTCCGTGATGGAGTAGAGGTGCATGTGCGCCAGCAGATACTCCCTCGGCAAAACCCTGGGAACAGAGAATTTCAAATGTGAATTTATACCCCGACTCGTATTCCTAACTCATGACTGTATTTTACCGAGAAATAGTTGTTTGGTGATAAATGATTAAATGAGTTGCACAATCATTTTAGACAGTCCAGCTAACCCAATGGCATTGTGTTCAGAGCACTCAAATCACAATCAGGTTGCTAGTACAAATCCTGGTGTTGGGTCAACTCAGGCCGTCATACCTCCAGGGCCAATGAAAAGGCTACTACTTTGTGGTACTCGACAGCGCCACCTGGCTAAATCGCTCAACTTCAGCATTGTCTTGAAGCTGTTTTCTAAAGCCTTCTCAATGCATCATACATTTTTCTCCTTTACAAATATGATGTTAATGATAAAGTGACACACATTGTGGAACAGTCTTTATTATTAGAATATCAATGAAAAGAAGATTCAGGATTTTAGCCTAAAACCATGATACCAATTCCAAGTAGCATTTGCTTGTTTTGTAAAGTAAGATCATACTGGACTTTTAAAAATTAATTTTAGTTATGACTGTATAATTGTTTCACATTTATTTCAAGTTTGTGTAGATTGTGTGCATTAATTAACCCCAGAATCGAGTAGATTTGACATTCAAGTCCAAGTGTTTCCCTGCTCAAATGAGCATTGGGTGGTGCCAATCTCAGTTGGCCATCATGAGCCGATGGTAGAAATTTGACCTTCTAATGGTGAGGGTGACCTCATAAAGTGGTATTCATTTTATCAACCCAAGAGGAATGGTGGGTTGAGTTGTTCCACGTACCAGGATATGAGCCCATGACGTTTCACTTGTAAGTCGAGCCCTATCACGGTGCTACCTGGCCATATTACATGAGTTATCATGATTTAAATATGCTTGTTGAGATAATATTATTAATGATGTTTAAGTATCCTGGCATGCCTCGCAGAACCTCAAGAGTTATTTTCGGTTGTGCCTCTCCTAAACTACATTGTTATCCATCAGCATCCTTACAAGTTTACGCACCGCCAGAATTTGAACTACCCCACGTACTGCCAATCCCACTGGATTACTGTAATTGGATAATTTGAGTGTTTAATCTTTATCATTGGTGTTTAACATAGTTTATGAATACCCACAAGACAATCTCCCTGGTATTATTTTGGTATGTTCATCACAATGGTATTAGGGCTGATGTCTTGGGGGATTTTGTTTAGGCTGCAACTTGAAGGCACTGTTTACAAAGGTCTAATACGCAGTGACATCCCAGTGTTTATTAGTTGTGCTATTAGGGTCCTTAATACGCTATGCTGCCCATTTTCACCAGCAAATCTAATAGCGGAAAATTACATTTCATACAGCAGTGAGTCTAAAAGAGAATTCAATTAAATGAGATTTTGCTGCTCATTAAGAAAATGCAACAGTAGGAGATTAAGAAACAAAGTGTATTTGCATTTACATATATTTTCATTTCATCCATGTGAAAACCCATTCAGACTAATCTCTGTTGCAAGGAAAACAGGGGATAAAATAATAGATAATCAAATATTTTAGAATGCTGTATTAAATAGGTTACATCAAAAGTCAAACGGCCAGATTCACATCTGGATGAAAAGATAAAAATAAATTACTTTGGCAATTTGCCTCATTGTTGGAAATGAAAACATCAACATTAGTTTTTTTTAATTGGGCAACGCATGAATTGGGCACAAGGTGTCTCTATACTCAAGTGAGCACAAGCTGGTGTTCTACTTCCTATGGCAGGAACTAGTATATCAATAGGACAATGTTAACTTCCAAAAAAAGTTGTTAAAATGTACCCACCCCAGAGGGCCCTTGAAATCCTCGACTGGGATTGCAATTCATGACCTTTCACTTTTCAGTTGCGTGCTGTAACCACAGCGTATCCCGGGCGGATAAGAACAGATAAGGCCATTCACAATAACATACCGAACGCAAAGTATATGTTTATGTTTTGGTATGCTTGCTTTAATCAGACATCGACAATATTTCCACAAGTTTGAGACAGCCTAAAATAGGATGTGGTGAATATGATTGAAAAAAGAACGTGTCTTTCCAATGGGACACACACTTCTGTCGTTACGCAAGCGAGACTGCGTGTGTCCAGACAAACCTAAAAGCAAAACAAGTGCCACAGGATTAAGGCCCTTCAAACAAAACATCCTGTTTAAAAGAACTGTCCCCTATTCTGCAGCGCTAAACAGGTGTGAATGAACAGGAAGGCACATCAGTAAACACAATAGCAATCAAGGCTCCTTGTGTCTGCATGGTCAGAGGCTTAGCAGAAACATGGGTCAGATTACATTATCACTGCAGGAAGTGTGACCTGGCTAAAGGGGGCTGAGGGCTTATGGCTGCTGCTGCCTCTGCATTGCACTCAGGGATATAGCAGGCCTTGCCAAATGCAGTGAGATGGGATATTGTCCCTCTGTCTTAGATGTATTTTTCGCACCTCCGATTAGCACGGTTGGCTATGTACGGTGCGAAAAAAGTTCAACATAATACAAATGTGGATTTGCAGGCATGGTGACATATCGGGATAATCCAGTGCTCTGGAAGAGAGGTTGGTGGATGGTAAAAAATCAGTACAGCAAGCATGTTGTTGCTATACCTGTTTGGACTTAGTGTCATCACCTCATGTCTGTCGATGTTCTATACGTACTCCAATTTTCTCCCAAAGATACTTACAAGAATGTTCAAATTCAAACAATTCAATCAGGAAACTTCTACAAAAAACTCAGTAAGGCTTTTCTGGCAAATAAATAACTTTTATTATTGCTACTTTTCCAGAGAATATTGTTTTAGCCGGTGGGAAACAAAACTCCCATCTTGTGTAATGAATGGGGGTAAAGACACAGTCACACAAGGCTCATCAGAGAAAGTCCCTCCAGCCTCTGGTACACGTGATACACGGCTGTAGTTGAGGGCACAAGGCAGGCATTCATGACCGTATTAATACACAGAGTGAGTGTGTAATGTGATCAAAGTAAGGAGCCAACAGTACCCCACTCCGAAACACAAGGTTTTAGGTACTTATGCAAAAGCCTAAAATGAAGTACAATTCCAACTATGCCATATATTAAACTAAAAATGTAAGATCTTTATTTGAACCTTATGGCAGGACACCCGGGTCCCATAAGCTTCCGGCTCTCGCATAAACATTATATTATAATGTAAACAAAAACTTTGCTCTTTTTCACCGATGGGTTTGAAGGATGGTGGCAAGTGTTATCTTGTTAAACTATGCCTTTAAAACTGAAAACTACTTACCTGCAGTACCTCTATTTAAATACACTATCGAAAAAAATACTTACACCCCTCTGTCAATCATCGTGTTTCCCAGTGTGGATTTGTGAACACACTTTATAAACAATACATAAAATAATAAGCGTTTTCAATGCGATGTTCATATTGTAACAAGCGTTTATACCAATGTTACTCTACAGAGTAGTGGGTCGCCGCTCCTCTTATCCGCATTGATACGAGCGGTATGTGGGGACTATGGCTTAACTGCAAAAAAATATATCTGCACAGATGCATATGGACAAGAGAAGTATTATCAAACAGGAGGAATCTCATCTGTTAAACATCTGTAGGTAATAGGATTGTCATCGATTGATCCTGGCTGCAGACATTGGTAGGTCAAATAATAATGAAGATAAGAGAGCAGTTTAACTGTATTATGCATACTGTTATGACAAATAAATGACTTAAGTCATTTAGGCAGTTTGAGCATCTTTGGATCAGACTTATGATCCTGCCCATACCCGAGCTTGGAGTACATTCACTTGTTCAGCTCTTCTGCGCATTCGTCCTCGCTGCGCTTGGACGACATGACAACAGAATGATCCGCGCCAGGTGGGTCGCGGCGTTTATGTGCGCGGTGGGACAGAGTCGCCAAAAATAAATACATTAATTACGATTTTGACTTCCGTTTATTCGGGGCCTCGGGGTCCCGTCATACAGTTCATTTATAGAAAAAAAGCCTCGTGGGGTCTTAAGATTGTTGCAAAAGGTACTGCATTGGGATGTTTGAAATAATATTACATTTCATTACTTTGCAATTAACACTCAAGGTCCAATAGGGTCTGGACCTGTGGTTATAACACCTATATAACAGTCAAAAGGGTAGGATGTTCAAATCCTGGACATGAGATGATTAATGATTCAGCCCATTATCTAACTGTGCAGAATTAACATTGGTCATCCAATGGAAAGACTGGCTCCTGCCATGAGTTATGTGGAATGCATACCACTGTCTCAACATAGCCGATGGAGAATTAGTGCCACCCAAGTTCAACCGAGTAGGGAGATACTTTACCTTTATTAACTATGAAGATACTCAATCTGAGGGATTGTGCTCGATGATGAACAAGGTAAAATGTATCTATGCAACTGTGATTTCAAAACCCTGATGAATACATTGGCAAATGATCACACGTAAGACTGGTTGAGCACAAGGAGAGTTCATTTAATATAACACTACAAGTTCAACTGCAGCACGTAAAATAGTGTCATGCTATTTAAAATTACCAGTGGTTGTCCTGTGAAGATTGATTCCTACTCCAGCTTAAAATGTGGAATTCACACCACTGGCTCAGGTTTACCAAGGGAGATGAGCACTGCCCCAAGCTTGTTTGAGCAGGGAGCTGCTCTGATTTATGCGACTTGAAAGATGTATTAACATTACAACAAAGGCAGTTGTGTCAGTCAGTGTAAACCTGCTAAAAACAAGCAGTGGGGTGGCACTCATGTCTGCTGACAGCCAAGTCAGTGGTGGAAATACTATATTCTACTGTTGATTCCCCATAATGTGGAACATTATTTTGACCCTGGAAGGATCACTGTGGGCATAATTTAGATTTGAACTCGCAACTTTCTGATTTTGAGTCCTTAGTGACCATGGAGTATTGATTATATGAATTATATTAACAACAATTTAAATAACTTATCTCAGAAAGCCCAATTGAATCTAAAGCCTTTTATGATGGTTCTGCACAGGGCCCTTTTTCAAATACGTGTTTTAAGGAATGTTTGGCATGTTGGCATCGTCTGGAAAGATAGGCCAGGAATCCTCTTTCTGTACTTATCTCATGACTACCTCTCTGCCCAGCAGGGGATTTTCACCATCTGTGATCCAAGGCAAAGGATTAGACCACATGGTTCCACCACACCCTTGATGCTAAGAGTGCCGGGTGAAGGTGAATTTTGTATGAGTGGGTTGCGGAGTGTCCCCTGACCTTCGCCTGAGCTCGTCTGCTACGATGGAGCGGCAGGTGAAGAGGTAGGCCCGCAGTGACTTGAGTTGCTGTCTCATGGTTCGCAGGGATGCCAGCTCAGCCACATGCTTATAGAGCTTAGGGTTCACCTCGCTCACGTCCAGCAGTGGCTCCTCCGCTATGTATTCCAGGAACTCCTTGGCCTGCTTTGCCACCTGAGCATCCACAGGATCAAACAAGCACAGGGGCAGATGTGAGTGTACTGTATACGTGCTTTTGTAGGCATGGGTATCACTGTGGTGAGAGGTCTACCCGGCATTATGAAAATGAAACCACCGGTTGAACCTGATTGCACTGCTCAGAATGACGGCATAACACTGAAGGAGACGAATGCTAGCTCGATGTAAGGCTACTAGAGATGAAGGGCAATACCCATGACATCTGGGCGCCGAGACAGGAGGGTGATCGATGCTGCACCATAGCCATCGAGATGCGAGACCTCTTAATTAAAATAAATGCACCACTCACTCAGTGCCTGTATTTTAACCGATGAGTACAGGGCTTTAATTATATGGGGTATAGCTTTGAGGACATGCGTCAAAAAAGTGCTAATGTTATTATATTCACATTACATCTACTTTAATAAATTACACAGTTTGATATATGTGGTTTATTTGGATTAATTAGACGAAGTTGTATTGTAATTAGAGTGCGTAGCTCACAATCAGAAGGTTGTGACATCAAATGCCAGAAGGGGGTCGCGACACTACTTATCATCATCTCTTCAGGTAAAAGGCATACCATTTCACTGGAAGTCAGCAGTGGTTATTATATGGAAAAACTGGCCACTACCATCATAAAGAGACATTTCCACTTTTGGCTCAGGCCTGGCAATAGCTATGAGCAACACCTCATTGCTGGTTTGGGCATTGAGACACTTTGCCTTGGCTTTGATGTGAATGTTGTCAATTCATTCTCTTTCATTTACATTATGAAAATAGTTTTGAGATCCAACTTTTAAGTCTGAAACCAACCACTTATTGGCTATTGTAGAATTATTTCTGAAATATTTTTAAAACCATGTAAGTAAATCTTCTTGGTTCTTTCGGTAAAGTCACGTAGAAGGGAAGTAATAAAATAATAAAAATAAAACATAATCAAATAATATAATAATATAATATAATATTATAAAAAAATCATGTAAGTAAAGTTTTTGCAGATTAAATAAGATATTTTTTTATCCTTAGGGCCAATTTTTACAATGTTTTCACTTTTTTAAGTAAACATTCTCCTGCTCAAATGAGCATGGGCAGAATCAATATCTAATGTTGGCATGGAGCCACCAAAGGAAATTATACATTCCTATGCCAGAGATAAATATATTGACTTCCAACAAGGGGTACTTGTTTTTATTAACCCTGGAGGAGTGGTGAGCTGAATCAACACTCAACCAGGATTTGAACTCATCACTATCTTATTGTGAGTCGAGCGCGAAACCACAGTGCCACCTCGCCGGATACATTTTAAGATTAGAAAAATTAAATGAGATTAGAACGACTGTGCGGTTTATTTCTCGCTAAATCTGTCGCCACAGTTCGGGGAAATGGAACAACAGGACTAGTATCACCCCGGATGTAGCCATAACACGTCTGGCCCAAGAGCCACGAGTGACGCGCAACAGCTGTTGAACAAAGCGATCGCTGTTTTTTCGCATCGGCCCGCAGCAGACGAAGGTAGCAGCCTAGCAAGGAATGCCGCAGGGTCCACAGCAGACTGGCAGCAGGGCTCGTTTGAAAAGCTCGCAGAAAAGAAATGCCCCGCAGTGAAAAATAATTGGTGGATCGGCTGTAACATTACCCTGTGCTCTATGCAGCAGCACACCCGAACAGGTCTAGCATTTCAGGCTTTGCTCTTTTGTGGCCTCGGTCAGATTCCTTTGATTGGGACTGACAGCCGTTATCAGATCCATGTGAAACAAACCATGACTTGACGCTTGCGTAAAGGGGGTGGTGGTTTTGTTGCCTGCGGGGACTTTGGATGAACAATTGCATGCCCAAAACTTGTTCCGCATTAATCCTGTACGATGCAAATCAGATTTTCGAAGCATATTTGATACTATGCTATATAGATAGGCAATAGGTTAGTGAAATGGCAGCAGCTAAGAACCAGAATATACAGGAAGTAATTCAACATAGCACTGTAATCAGATGCCCAAAGGCAGGTATTAATAATGCTATTTTTATTATTGCTGCTAATTATTTTTTTCATTTAGGCCTCAATTTGTAAATGCCATGATTACTATGTTAATTTCTACTATGTGTACTAGATGTTTTAAGTCTACAAAGGCTCTGCACAATGGGAATTGAAATGCATTGGTCTTCAAGAATATGATTAATAGTATGTATGTGGTCTATGGTAGGGCAAGCTTTCCCAAACCCTGCTTGCCCCCGTGTTTGGCTGGCCTGCAATATGTTCATTATATTGTTCCAAATGATATTCTTTAACAATTTATACACGTGTGATAAGAAGCTAATGAGTCTCCAGTTTTTCAAGTCAGTTTCAGTTCCCATATTGAATGAAAGAGCAAGTAAGGCATCATTCCATTGTTGTGGCATTTCATTTATCCATAAACATTCATCACCAAGTCTGCTAATTGTGCTTCAGCAGTTAGTCACCCCTTCATTGATGATGTTCACTGTTATGGCATTCGGTCCAGCTTTTTCATATTTGAATGGGCAGAGATGACTTGTTTAAAACTTCCTCCTCATCCTGAGAGATGATCTTATTCCCAAGCTAAATGCATGTTTATGCTACAGAGATCTGCATAAAATGACTCCACGAATTTGAAGATTCTATCTCAGTGAGTTATTATTCCATCCAATTCCCAAAGGACTACCAGTGTGAATTGCCAATCATCAACCTCCATTTTGCCGATAATATGATCCCGTAACTTATGACGTCCTCAATGATTTCTCCGAGTTGTGTTCCACAATTTGTTTTCATTTGCTTCTTAATAATTTTACAGAGTTCTGTGTATTCAACCTTCAGTCTCGAATAATTCTCAACATGTCTTTTATGATTTCAGACAACTTACTCGGTTTGTATTCTTGGTTCTTTCGGTAAAGTCACGTAGAAGGGAAATAATAAAATAATAAAACAACTATCTAATTCTCATCATCGGGTGTGAAAACCACCTGATGATTGCTTGTGTTGCAATCGAAATGTCATGAGAATTTAATTGTTTTATTATTTCCCTTCTACGTGACTTTACTGAAAGAACCAAGAAAATGAATCCCTGCAGTCACGAAAGCTTTAAATCGAATTTTACTCCGTTTGGTTTAGAATCCTTCCTCTCACTAGTAGTGTATTGGAATGTAAGTTAATGTATTACTGGTAGGAACGAAGTGGGCCAGACCACCAATAGATGAATGTGTCCGTCCGTCCGTCCGTCCGTGGGAGGGGTGGTGTTGAGGGTGGTGTTGGAAATGAAAGACTACGAGTCTTTAAATCTCACAGCGTTTCTTGTCAAAACAAACACTTTTAATTAACGTTACACTAGAATACAGTAATTTTTTCTTTAACTCCTCTATACCCGGTCAATATCTCTGTACCGGTACTAAGTATTATTCCTACCAGCCCACCCCGCAGGGTCCTGTTATTTAATAGTGACATCTATGTCATCAATTTGATTCTCTAGGCATAAGAATGTGTTACTTTGCATTAACATGAAACCAACAATCAGCTAGAAGATGCCTAAGATTGTATAGATGCCATCTTATAATTGCCTGAAGTTAGTTTTGCCCTCTTTGGTCATATTGGATGACATCCAGTCTGTGTTCACTTCCTGTGAAGACAGAAATGTTTCAATCTGGGATTTGTCTGTTAAAATCAAGTCACTGATTCTTAAAGTCACGATCCGACCTTCTCAATATCCGTCTCTTTGATTCCTTATTTTTTAAAATATATAATTCACAATTACATCTTCAAATTCCTACCATTCACAGCATGCGTCATAATGTAGGCGGGGTAAAGGGGCTCCCACCTTGTCAATGCAGGGAATCTCCAGTGTGGCCTTGGATTAGTGTTGAAGCGGCATGGATGCCTCAAGAGCACAGTTGTAAGACGCAGTAACATCACCTAGTCTCGGGAAGCATGGTGTGTCCGATAACGACTCCGACACTTTCCTCTTTATTTGCACACAAGTAGTCACGTGCTACCCATTAAGAGTTTGTATTCCAGTACTGACTCTAGATGGCGCTAAGGCAGAATACCTCAAATGCCACTTGGCTGTGACTTTACATTCTCTTTTCTCATTTATGAAGCCTCAGATGGGTGTCAGGCAGACCAAGATACATAACCTTGGTATGACTTTACCGAAAACACCTAAGAATATGATTCCTTGCAGTCACGAAAGCTTCAAGTCTAGAACTATAAAAAAGGCACGTGGTTTTTGGCAATGTCTTATTTGAAAAGATAAAAGGCCACTCACGGCTTCAAAAGCTCAGTTTACCTTTTGCAGACTGACGTCCCAGTTATGCAGCACGCGCCCGGGGATGAGGACGAGATCGTCTGCGTGGCAGTGCACGCAGTAGTAGCGCCGACTGTAGGAGCACACCTTGGCTTTACCATAGCAGAATCCGATCTCCCGGCCGCAACCTATATGAGAATTAAAGGAACGGGGGGGGGGGGGGGGGGGTAGCTAGTGTTATGGAGCCCATAGACGCAATGACTGCCAAGCACGAAAATCAGTATGGATGTGCTTGCAGAGCAGAGCATGCATGCTTGCAGCCAAGTGCTTTGCTGGCATGGTTTGTGGATTCCGCAGAGGTCGTCATGTGCCTAAGATGCTAATCACAAAGCTGCTGACTTGCTGCAGTTGAGAACCTGGTTTAATAACCAGGGGCTAAAACCTGAATTTGAGCTCAGAATCTCAGTGGTACCAAGTTAGTACAGTACAGGTACTCTGAACGTGGAATCAAATGTCTAAGTGTATTCCTTAGTGGGCTGATGTCTTTGAACTCACTGCAATCTCACTATACTTGAACCTAGATTAATTCTGAAGGGCTGCATACATTGAAACTCAGCAGTGATGCCTTGAAGCTTTAACACAAGCACAAACTACCCGAGCCATTAGACTATTTGAATTTAGTTCCACATGGAAATAAATATGCTCATTTAGTGTCATTATCATTAGAGACATCAATATATTAGGTAAAATGGGCTGTTTTATATAGCTCTCATTGCAGTTATTTATCCTATTTGCATGTTTAATAGACATCTGCTCTTGAAATAAAATAAATATGATTATTCCAGCTGAGAAAACCTGGTAAAAATTGGGATTTATGGAAATGCATTCACTGATGGCACACCAGAGATGAAAATTACACAGAACTGTTCCAAATACACAAAACATTAAGAATGCACAACAATTAAATATCTCTTTTTCAGACAATTATTATTTAGAACACTCATGCTACAGATGATATTGTCACTTCAGAAAATTAAGCTAAAGTGATTGTGCACTTAAAAAAACCAGTATGAAAGAAAATTACATTGTCAACAATATAATGGTTTTTATAATGTTTTAAATATTCAAAACACTATTTACAACTAGCAATTGATTTGAAACAAACTTAAATGTGTATCACAATATGAACTGACTTGCAATGGTGGCACTTCCAATTTTCATAGATGAATCATCCAAAATATGAATCACCGATGCACACCAGTAAGATACATAATATTGTGCCGCGTCAAACAAAATGCAAATGCACTTGTGCGTAATGCTTATAAACGATGTGAGAAAAGTGTTTATCCACAGCACTGTCGGCACATCTATCTCCGCCACCTGAAAGACTACAAGAACCTTTATTTTTTTTTGTATCGATCCATGTGGCACTGTGATAAGTATTTTTATTTTGGAGGTCAACTTGGTTCACAAGCGCTCTGGATTCAGACAAACAAGTGCCTCTGTGGGAAATGAACAGTTGATATTTTCACAGTTGCTCAGGGCTGACAATATTTACGAGCACTGCCCTAGGGCTCGTTTGAGTAGGGAGAGGTTTTTCACTTTTTATGGTTAAAACAAATAATTGGCGATCCAGTGATTATATTCACCATTAAAAAGGCACTTGAAAACAAAATGCAATGCTTTAGCCAACACTCAACTGGAGCACAAAAACGTTATTTTCATGCCATGAAAAACATGTTAAATTAATACGGTAATGTTTTAAATGAGCCTATATACAGCTGCTCAAGTGCAATATTTACCGTCTCTAATAAACACGCTCAACTGTTACTTGAAATTATGGAGATATCTGTGCTGAAACATAAACACATTATTTGCCGAAGATAAAATATAACACCTCAGTGACAGCCAAATAATGGATTTATCAAGGAACAAACGGCTCACATTTTAGAGCTTACTAGCGGGAAGTACCCGGCATAGCCCGGGCAAAAATGGTTTCTTCAAAACTCATCTTAATAACCTTACATATACAAACACAGACACTAAGCTATTGTGAAAGGCTGATGGGCCGTTTGTCCATTTCTTCACCAACAAAATTATATGAGGCTTGCAGAAGTCCAAAAAGTTATAGAAAGTGGGGGGTAAATAGTTGATATAAAAGGTTTCCGAAAATTCTCGCCCGCCCCCCCCCCTTAAAATAATACTATCTAAGCGCTATAACATTATTATCTACGGACTCTATAGTAGTAACTGCACGCATCGGGGTGGGGGGGGGGGGACACCACACTGAAGAATTTACCTCAGCGTTGTGTGTTTTTATAGCATTTTTAACGAAAAAAAAACGTGTATGACTTGGCAGGGGCCGTCCCCCCCCACCGAAGGCGTGCGAGTTGGTATGGTCGAGCGTGCGTAATAAATCAAGATAAATCGCACTAAATCGCTAATAAACTACTTCTAAGTTGACGGATGAGAAAACGGAATAGTGCTTGCTCACCACGGGGCTTACGGCGTGGTACCTGGATATTTTTTTCTTTCACATAAACCCCACCGTTAGAGAGCCAAAGCCTTCGCAAGTGTGCGAACACACACACAGACAGACAAAAAATTACATTTATATTTAAAAAAGGTGAGCCATTGCTCACCATGTGTGTTAATCAGGATGCATCTAAACTCTAAACCCACATCAATGGCAGAAAGACAGACCGGATGAACCCAATTCAGAGATAATCATCATTATCACTACACCATTACTTTGGTTACTGGATGTCCTTTCAGTAAACAAACATCAGAAAGCCACAAAAAAAATGTTTCTCCTAATTCCCAGTCGGAAATATCATGTTAATCTTGGCAAACTATCTACATAAGCAAGTTGCAGCAGACAGGGTAGAGGGTTAATACTGAAGTGTTTGATGTATCTGGCCTGGTAGAGATATAATTTGTGTGCTGGATTCAGTCATAAACTTGGACCAACATTGCTTCAGGGTCACTTGTTATCAACAGTAAGACCCCCACACTATGGAAATGAGGACGTTTCAATAATGATGAAAAAACGACTAGTGGATAGGTATCTCGTAATTTTCCTTTTTGCATGCAAACACTTCTACCTTGAATTTCATATACAGATTGCAGGGTGCGATGTGCAGAGTGTGGTGGACAGGGTGTATTGTGCATGGTTGGTGTGCAGTTTGAAATTGATGTTTTATAAATATTGCTGACCTCTTGCAAACATCAATACAATCAGCAACACAGATCCAACAATGGTTAGGCATTACAAGCACAAGTAAAAGTGTGGTTAGTAGTGAGTAGTGAATGGTTTTCAGTGTGCGCATGTGGACAAAGTGCACGCCAGGTGTAATCCCCCGGCAGATCTAGAATTACACAGGAACCTCCTCTAATCAGACTCCCAAGCCAACCAGGCGAGGAAGCATTTTATTAGACAGGGGGCTGCCCTACTTGCATGGCCCAACCTCCACCCTCACCACTAATTCCACCAAGTCAAAGTTGATGGAAGTCTAAAAATTACCCAAGAACAGGTACCAATGTGCTCCCCATTTTGACATAAAGTTCAATTCACAATCACACTGTTGTGAGCTGATATATATAACACAAATGTCTGTGCATTCTGGATAAAACAAGAATGGGCACTCATCTCCTATAACGATTGGTAAAAACACGTCTTTCTTACAGTGGTGGCCATTTTCTACAGAATGACCAATGTAGACTTCTCACAAACTGATACTTTGATGAGCTGGGTTGGCTTGTCACAACTCCAAGCTAAAATCAGATGTAAAAACACAACACGTTCATATATAGGAACCCATTCACATGTTGCTGAATGTTACTTTTTGTTAATTTGTAGATGATATCTCCATTACCAACTTTGTGGCTAATTACCCGGGCAATGTGTTTAATTCATTTAATATAGGTGTCAATGTGACCTGCAGTGTTTAAACTGATTTTGCGACCATTTGGACACTTTTACTTTGGATTCTAAGCCATCAGTAAAACGAAATACTTATTCATTCTTGCTCTGTATTATAAATTATTTCACGAATAAAAGAACTGTGCAACGACCTTGAGAACTTGAAGCAAAAGGTGCCATAGAAGAAATAACGATTGTTTCTGAATTTAAAGTTCACATTCATTTCATATTGATAAGCTTACTTGGCCCAATCCAGTTTCATCCATGTTCCCAGGAATGCCAAGCCACCACAGACAGCCCCCAGAAAGAGTGCCTGGATCAGCTTACACGTGTCACTCTCAGGGTACTGTTCACAGCTAAACTTAGTTTTTTTTCTGTGTTATAGAAGCACAAAATTCACCAGTCAGTGTCTCAATGCTCAAAGGTGCAATGGGGGGGGGGGGGGGGGGGGCATTCATCTCCACTGGCATCCAATGAATGCCACGGTGGAAAAATGTTAACTCCCTCGCCCTGTTATGCAGTAGGTCTTGGGTTCGATTACAACCCTGACGCCTGTATAGTTGGAGTATGCATGATTTCCCTGTGGTCGCATTATTTTTTTCTAGGTCCTCTGGTTTTCCCCTCCACATTTAGAAACATGTATGAAGAGTTTCGATTTAAAGTTTTCGAGACTGCAGGGATTCATCTTCTTGGTTCTTTCGGTAAAGTCACGTAGAAGGGAAATAAAATAATAAAAATAAAACATAAAATAATTCTCACGACGTTTCGGCCACAGCGCAAGCAGCCGTCCTCAGGTGAAAAACAGGTCTGTCGGGAAGACAGCGTTTGAATTCAGACGCATGAAGAGTATTTGGTTGCTAGAAATTAAGCCACTTTGTTGAGCTATGATTTGTGGCAAATTTGCTTAAGAAAAAGAGCTATATAGCTTAGTGGTTCTTACCTGTTAAAACAATTTTGTTTCAAAAACCAGTTGGGAACATTTGATATTTCTATGGTAGGAACCAGGTTTATTCATAAGATGGCTCCTATTAACGTCCATGGGGAGGGTTCAGTAGAACACCTGGCTGTGATTTTAGCTTACAATCATATGATTGCAGGATGAGCACTCTTGTCAATGCAACTTGGTCAGATTATTTTAGTAATCTTGTCATACAACAGTTTAACAGATAACAAATAACCATCTAATTTGCGGCTTGCCTTTCGTATCAGTCAAGATGGACTGTTTATAAAGTATGGCTTGAGAAGATAATATCTATGGTGAGTTTGAAACAAGCAATGATCAACGGAATGCTCCATAAGCAGCACCCCCATGCTGATAATAATCAATAAACAATGACACAAATTACTCGTTATACGTAGAGGGAAAATATACTCACGTTAATTACACGCTATATGTTAACTAAATAATGTTGGCAAGAATATATTTTAAGCTCTTTAACTGTTAAAGTGGGTGGCATATTTAGACCCATAATAAACAAAACAAGGTATACTGAGTTGTGCTCAAGTGATATTAATTTTTTTTATTTGAATCATAGATGCGATTGTAAAATATTTTTCCGAAATTACTCATTGTAACTAGAATGAAAGTGAGAAGGTTACAAGATAATATCAGTCTACGCATGGACGTGTGCCTTCGAGGCAAACATTTATAAGAATGCCTTGAGTTAACCAACGTGAAAGAACTCAACAAAGCTTTATACACTTCCTACCGTACATTTTAAGAGTCACGATATTGATGTATTGTCATGCACTCAAGAAACGTGTAAGAAAATGTGACTTACTGTGAAGAGTTGAAGAATATTGTCATCTTCATTACATCAAGAAAATGACAGAAAGTTAGTGTCATACATTTCTGAAGATGCTTCTAACGCATATAATGAGTTTGTTCAACAGGATGAAAAGCCATATGCTGTTCACGAGCCCCCCCACCCCAGTTGTTTGATATGGGTCATCATGACTAATCTCTCTCAACTTTAAAAACTTTTGCATGTGGTCCACCAGTCCTTTCCCCCAAGTGCTGAAATACGACGAGTATGGTGCAACACCCCATATAATATTAACAAATAAGAGACTTACCAATTGAATCTTTAACATTGTCATATGAAAGAAATACTGTAGGCTTCCATTTATACAAGAGAAGGGCAATTTCCTATTTTTCCGAACTGTAAGGCAGTGTTAATAGTGATCATGGTAGGGTTTTTGTTTATTTGTGATGTGCGCATATGACAATGCATTACGTTTTTTGTCTAATTTTAACACTGCATTTAAATTAGGCTATCCCAGGCTATTTTATGTCAGCCCTCAATACATTGCATGCACGTATGTAAAATGGTATTTTCAGCGTATTTTACTGTCCGGCACTACACTTATCAGATATGGATAATGTTCCAAAGGATCACGAAAACACAAACACTCACATGAATAGGGTTACAGGTGCTGTGAAATTTTAAACAGCCTCTCTCAGTTGTGGACAAAACCCCACAGCCCTGCGGCCCACACATTACACGAGGCTTCACACCCCCTGGCTAAGTCCGCTCTTGCCCATGTTCGGCCACCGTGTGATTGGTGAGGAGCAGATGTTTATTGTCAGCTCAAAGCGCTGATAATGCACTTTGCCTGCCAAGCAGTTTTCAATAGTAGTGGAAAAATGGCAGTCAAAATAAAATATATTTCTTTTTGACATAGCTTCATACACTACATGGCAGCAGAGTTTATCATTCATATTAAGTAAGAAAAGCAGCCGCTTTGAAGAGGTACAGATCGGGGCCAACCCTTATAGTTCAGCTGGCTAATGCACAATTCTCTCTGCTCTTTTCCCCACTTTTTTTTATTTTCCGCCCACTTGTTTTTCAAGTATTACTGGCGATAAAACACACCCAAACAATTGCAAGCCAATTATTATATGAATTGCTCATCAGGCCAGTGAGAAAAGTGGTGAGCAGGCTAAGCAAACATCAACAATGCAAAAGTTGGATCTGGCAGGGCTGTGCAAATACCTACAGGCAAATATCAACAGCAGTGGCAACACCAAAGCCTTAACGGATGGAAGAGGGCAGAGTGAAAGACAAGGAAAGCAGGCAGAACTAACTGTACCCACTGATACATGGAATCAAATAAATCTTTGTGGAGTTACTGAACCAACAGACACCTTGCATGGGTGGTCATTCAGGTTAAGAGTTTATGAAGCCAATTAGTGAGAGTTTTGAGGCAGACACTGGTAAGAGGTATTCCGTAACCAGGTTGGAGTAAGAGGAAAAGTAAACGTTTAACAAGAGATTTCTTATTTACCATAAAATAATCTGCATCTGAGAACCTGCTGTAATCACAGGTGTCTGAAACGTTCGGCCACCTCTGACACGGGCAATATGAGCCCTCTGAGTCACCCAGTCATCCCACAGAATTACAAAACTTTGCTGGACTGATATTGACAGACAAATGATCTATTAAGGAGCAGAATACACACCAATGTATGGTGTGTATTCTGCTGTCGGCTGAGAGTATTGCAAGAAGCAGCACATGCACACAAAGGCCAAGTAATGTGTTCCTATCATCACCAGCCCATCTCCTCCACTCTCCCCATCCTCCCTCAAGGGATTAAAGGCAGAACAATATTTGCAGTCATTGGAAAACTGTACAAAGTCATTTGGAATCTGCAGGATCTGAACAAGCAACAAGGACTGCACTTTTTAGGGTTTTGATTTGTGGATAACATTTTCGACTGACGATTTTTGCACCGGTTTTAAAGATAGATATAATTTTATAATCACAATAAATTAAAGATTTCCCGTGCTTGAATGTGCATGGGGCGGTTGTACATCTCTGTTGGTGGTCTTGAGGCAGTGGTGGATATTCAACTTTCCCATGGTGGAAGCCAGTCGCACCAAAGGACAACCACTGCTCACTGCCATAAAGTAATACAGTACTCACTTTATTCTTTCTGGAACAATGATAGGCTGAAGAATTCCTCAAATGAAGATTATGAGACAAGTGCTTTAACCACATCACTACCAAGTCACACAATGTAGAAATAAATGCAGTGCTTCGTATTTTGTTTATAAATGAGAAATCCTGCTAATGGTGTGCGAAAATATATTTGTGAACACATTTGCATGGGGTATTAAACTACAGATCATTGATTACCTGGTGGCTTTGGGGGGGGAAAGAGGGCACCGGATTTTCTAAAATGCTGGATAATCACATCATTATTTAAAATAGCTTATTTTTCCACATTTTTGCATTACATTATGCTTTTAGGTGTTGTTTTTTTGTGTTTTAAATTTGTTTACAATATGAAATTGGCATACCTAAACAATAAAATAGCCAAAAATAAACCTCCTACTGTAAAAAGGTACTGTATTTACTGCACCGTACTTATCACTCCAATATCGAAGACTCTGCATGGGGTGCAGTACTTTCATTGTTTAAGTTGTATGTAGTGAATAATGTACTGTATATAATAATGAACACTGAAATCAAGTATAACTACTTTTTTTTGTCATGCGCATGGTGCCAATAGCCGGACTGAGTTACAGAGATTTTGCAGGTTTCGCCGGATCGGCCCGGGACCGCCGGATAATGTTGGATGTAGGCAGATAAATCTCGTAGTGCCGGATAATAGACGATCAACTTTAAAATCAGTACCTTAGAGCACACTACTAAGATTGCATCCATTCCTCCCACTACTGTGACATAACAACGTTGTGTTTATAAGGTGGGTAATCTGAAAGGCATGTTGCACTCGATAGCATACATTTTAAATTAAATTAATTTGTAAACCTCACTTCACTGTAAACTCTTAATTGGTAATCAAATTGCATCTCTAGTTCACATTAACGAGACCTGGAGCGATGTATCAGTGCATAATTGATTAAGCTGGAAATACATGCATCAAAACCTGTGTATGAGAAAGATATACTGTACAATGTTTGCAAACTATGCAAGCAATAAGCTGAGATTATATTCAGGCGAATGTACAAAATATGATAACTAATTATACTGTAAACATTTTTTTATTGCAAACCTAAATTGTGACGATTCATCGAATCTCTAAAGTGAATTGACACGTGCCTGTATTAAGCCCTATACAAAAATGCATACGAACACACATACAAGCTTTAGTTAACTCCCTGTTGCTAACTAAAAAAACTCTCCGAAAAACGTTCATATATTCTGATAATGAATTTGTTTTACATAGATAAAAATTTAATTAATGCAAGCTGATTAGTAAGAGTTGGGGCCAAACAGCATTAACACAACACTGCCCTCTGTTGGAGTGTAAACTCACACCGTAGCTAGTTCTACAGAGCCTCAAAACGTCAGACCCATATAGCTCCTTGGTGGTCAAGCAACCATGAAACATTATTCCAAGTCTTTAGACATGACACTGCTACCTCGTATTATCCTTGCAAATATCATTCTTACCTTCAGATTTATCCATAATGTACAATCATATAACTTTACATGGCAAATGTGACCATATTTATGACAATGCTAACCTACACTCAATTTTGGATAGACTTAATTCTAACCATAAATGCCAATCTGTGTGCTTAAAAAAAACACACATTAAAGCATCTCCTTGATCAAATACGCAAAGGGGCAGCCAGACCTACATTGGTGGTCCTGAGCCATGGGTGACGATTCCACATTCCTCTGATGGGTCATTCTATCTGTAAGATAACTACCATTGGCTTCCCACACAATGGATCTAAATCACATTGAACATAGGGACGAGGGACTGAATCAACTCACATTTTATTTGAACGTGTGACCCTCAAATTGCGAATTAGTTGTCCTCTGCCAGAGCACCATCTAGGTGTGTTCACCCTTCTAAGGAATCATGTGGTCGGGTGCCGAGATTTTGAATCCAAAATGGGACTTGAATTGGTCTAAAAAACCTCCAGGGTCAACAAATCTGGGTACCACATTATGCAATCAATAGTGGTCATCTCAGGGTCCACTTGATCCCAACAGATAAATGTGGATATTCCACATTAATGCCACACCACTGCTTTTTTCAGCAGGAAGTAATTCTGGTGTAAAAAATTATAAAAAATAAAATCTCTCGAAGTCAGACTTCCTATTAAAGATCAGCATTCCAGTATAGCCCAACATGTGAACACAATGCAATTTTCTTCTATATTTTGGATTATTTCAGCGCAGTTCAACTACCATATGGTCATGAGTTCTACTTGAGAGAAGTAAATAAAATCTTAAAAGTGTCATCGCATCTGCCGCATGCATCTCACCAGCACACTTGCAGTTCTGTGCATCCAGGCCTTTCTCTGCGGGCAGCTCGGTGAGCAGGTTGAGGAAGGAGCTGGTGATAGTGGTGCCCTCTTCTTCACCCTCACCGTTGCGCCCCCATACTCGCTCTGGACTCTTGCTGCAATGCTCCCCTGACCCCGTCTGCTGCCCCTGCACGCGTCTGAGCGTGTGAACCCACAGGCGTGCCTCCATCTCACTAACGGCACGCAGGTGCAGGGTGTCACTGCCCAACACAATGCTGAATCTGCGTGGCGCACCCCGCTTTCTCTCCACGTCCCGTAGCTTCGCGAGTTCCGTGTGTGCGGACAGGGGCGCCGTTGCGATCGCTCATGGCATAGCGGCACAGTGTGTCCTTGTCCAGAGTGAAGTAGAATGACTTCCATGCGTGCCCCGTGCCTGCTGTCTCCTCTTGCTGTATCTGCTGTACCTTTAGCACACCGTGTAGCAGTGGCTGTACCAGACAGCTTTCATCAACCGTGGGCTCTGGGTGCAGTGGTCCAGATGTGCAGTGATTTTGTGGTCCTTGGATTGTTGTGTCGTTATCATCGGCTGGCAAGAACTGCATGGCGGTGATGGCCTCCTGCAACCGTTCAACCCAGTCGTCTGCCTGCTCTTCTGAGGGCGCACGCAGGTGTATGCGGGTGCCCGAGTAGGTGAGCTCCAGGCAACAGCGGTTTCCACCTCCGACCTGGAAGAGGTTGCTACTGCCGCCTCTACTCACACCCTGCACAGCACAACACATTGTCCATCATTGACAGATCATGCCTTGTAAATATATTGTGCCATGCTTAGAATACATGGATTGTTAAAATATTGTTTCGTTTTCAAATCGTTGTAGAAGTTTGGCTTTTCTTCCACTGGATAGAGATATGCCAACGGAAATAGGCACTGCCCTTTTTCACTCGCATTAGCACTTACGTTACACGTTCCTAGCAATGACAAGCTATCTAAAGCCTGCAGCACCACTGCCTATATAAATGCCGAACAAGCCAATGTGTGTACGCGTGCATGTGCTGTCAGTGTGTGTGGAGATATCTGGTACAATGATTAGTGCAATGAACTATAATCACAGCAACCTCGGTTAAATTCCAAGCCATGCAACTATATAATGATGCTGGCCACACCACCCTCTAATGTACCTTACTAACCATTGTAGGTGCCCGCTAAGCAATCGATCAACGCCATCAACATTGATTATGAACATAAAGTCGTACAACTTGGTGGAAGTGGAGATAAGCCTATTGTGTACATTTAAAAAAACAATAACATGCTGATTAAACTCATGGTAGACTCACCAGTGATTTTATGACGTACAACTGCACATGATGCATAAATGATGGGACATTGCAAGGACATGAAGCCACTATTTAAATATCCACATATACGATGGGTTAAAGATTAAATGTCCATACAAATGTCGTCACTTCCTTCTTCTGGCCACCTTGCAGCTCATCGGTTTTGATAATTTTATAAATATTCGTAATACTCTAACCCTGAATTACAGGTGTGAATTATTTGTATGTACGACCATATCTGCTTCAACCTATTCTTGATGAGACGTGAAGGGGAATAGAAATAAGAGTGCCCAGTGAATACTTTTGAAACTGTTAATGACACTGCAAGATCTACAACATAATTTACCCTATGTTCCACAATCTAAAATATAGAATCTCTGTCTCTGTGTGACTTGGTGCGCGACTTTAGCTCTGGCAAGAGGTGAACTCACCTGGAAATGTGCGACCATGTAGACCTCTTTGGGCTTGCCGTGCACCTCTGAGCCTGGGTTGAAGAGCTGCAGGGACATGGGCGCCAGCACACAGTGGTACTCCTTCCACAGCAATATGGTGCCCGTGCGCTTCTCCAGGTTGCCCATCTTCAGGATGTTTTGAAATGGGTTGTAGACGCCTGAGGGGGTGGCAATGGAAGTTAATGTGGTGTTAAGAGTCAATGCTGGACTCGTAGGTTAATAGCAGCACACTCATTGTTTAAGGACGTCTGTGTAAACAGATTGTATTTTTTATTGCCGTACTCTGGATTATTGCCATGGTTCAAATCCAGCAGCATTAACACGATTCATTACCGAGCCACCCAAGGTAATAAATCTGGCTGCGCCATTGCACTCAATCATTAGCTCAAATCAGACCATTCTGTCGATTTTTTTTTAACAATGTTGGTCTGCTTTTAGCAATGGTACTGTTGGTGTCAGTTCCAGAGTATATAGCTAGACTTCATAATTGCACCCCTAAATGAAAGAAGAGTGTCACATCTTGCCAGTATTATACTTGGGAAAAAACACCATCGGAATTCCCTGAGCTTGCTTAAGCTTGTTGGAGCACAAAGACCACTTTATAGGATCAGTGACTTGAAACCCTTCCCTGAGATTTAGAGATAGTTTTTTTTCAGATCACTTTCGTAGAATACATTTTAGATTCACTTTTGATGATGCAACCAAGACAATGTGGCTTAGAGACATTCATGAATGTAATCAAGTGTTTATACAGTAAAGCTTCAAAAGAAATAGGACTAAGTAAATAGGGATGCCACGTTGGTATTTTAATTATCAGACTGGACGTACAATCCAGGGGCAAGCCATTTCATTACACTACTGTGGAAGTTGAAAATGTACAAGTTGATAAATGCATTAATCCACCCAGCAGTATATGTACACCACAGTTATACGACTGGCAGGTTGCATTTGGTGCGGTAATGTGTGGGTATGCCCTCCTCTTCCAACATCTGGCCAGGGTGAAAGAGTAGGCCAATACCCCCAAATGGGTTCTCTAGTGGGGGCCCTTCTCCCAGCAGTGGCATGAGCATGCAATTGCAGGACTCCCACTTTACCTTATTACTCTTTTTTTTAATCTCGAAAAGCCTCGAGTATCAAGGGTCTTTTTAGTAGGGGGTTTACATTGGGATGTTTGGCATATTATATATGAGAGCCTTGCTTGTGAGAGGAAACCCGAGTAAATGGGTAAAATCCACGCGTAAGAGATAACAGGTATAATGTCCACACAACAAACCCATTTAGTATACTGCCATCTACTGGCTCCGTCGCAGCCCTGCAGGTTTGAGAGTGATAAATGTAAGCGATTCACCAGTTCCTGCCTGCTGAAGTATTTGTTTACAGGCATACACCAGCCAGGCCTATGTGGTCTGCAATGCTGTAGATTATATTTCGTAATAATTTATAATTGACAAACTTTTGTCATTCAAAAGCCAAACTCCTCCCCATACCAAAACATCCCTGTTTTTTTTTAGTTAACCCTCCCTATATAAAGCACACTGAATGCCGATTGCACTTTTGTTGCAATATAATAATCAGTAAAGCCATTAGAAAGACTTCCAATGCCTTTACACATGCATATTACGAGGAAGTTTGTTTTAAAAGCTTATATTTCTATTCATCGTAGCAGATCCTAAATTTCTATTAATCGTAGCAGATCCTAAATTATGGCACTTAGTCCACTTCTTAGTCCATATGGACTAATAAGGGTTTTGTTTGCACATTTTAGACTTACAAAAAATAAGGCAAAACGGCGTATGTATGTTGACCTTCTTTTGCACCCAACATAGCCAATCGTGTTAATCGTGTTAATCGTGACTGGATGAAAAAAACTGTTAATTAAGCATTACACGATTTTTATAATGCTGGAAATGGGTTCATTTTCAACATTTACCACTGATGTCAGATAATAAATCAGCTGTGTTAATAGTTTTGTAATAAAAAAAATTGTGCTCTACTTCATACACTAAGTTCCATTTTCAGCTTCTAAATGGCATTAAGATTGCCATCTTACATCAAGACCATTTACTGTAACACTCGGGTCTGTCAACTTAACATGAATAACGATACAATTACAAATAAACCCACAGTTGTTAGGAACCAACTCCTGGTCACTCAGATAGTTCATAGCATAACATGCATGGGGGCAATCTGTCTTTATAACAGCATCTAAATGGCCTATCGTATTCCACATTCATCACTCAATTAGCATGTACATATTCCCTTTCCAACTGCCTTTAAATCAGCGAGGTTGCTTATGGGCACAAAGTCCAGTCAATATGGTTTATGTTAGAGCATGCGATAAAGTGGCACTATGAGACAGAAAAACGTATTAACAATGAAAGTGATGTATGGGTTATGCTTAATTTCCAAGGCACAAGCTATCAGAGTAATAGCAAATAATTAAGGTTGTGCACTTAAACAGGAGGTATACTTTAAACGCATTATATCTACAGCTCAGCAAAACGTAAGTGAAATGTACAACTTCAAAGGTATGTAAATGACCAAACCATGGCATGCTATTCATTCATATTACTATACTTATAACATTTATGCTGAAAATGTTTCCCTAATTGTTAATATTTAAATTTCATGCTCACAATGGAGATCTTAACCTGCTAATATAATCAAGCATTGGATTTTAAACTGGCTTGTATCGAGATATTTTAAAAGCACGTTTTTTTTGTCAAATGTATGGTGGTGGTGGTGCTGCTGCTCACAGTAGTAGCAACAAAATTTTATTTACAACCAGCAATGTCTGCGTGAACTCAGGGTCAAAAAGTCCCTGCTCAAGTGAACATTGGATGGTGAAATCTTGACTTAAAGCTTTCGTGATTGTTATTTTTTGTTATTTTCTTTGAATCTATCTACGTGACTTTACCGAAAGACCCAAGAACATTGGATGGTGCTCAACTCCATTGGCATCAACTCTAAGCCAGTAGTCGAAATACATTCCTTCCATGGGTCGACCACTGTTGAATTCTAACAAAGCTGTAGTCCGTTTGTTTTTGATCCCAAAAGAATGATGGGCCGAGTCAACTCCCAATTTGGAGTCAACCATTCTTGCCACAGTGCCACATATATAAACCCATGTATATACTTTAGAGATATGTAGTTATAGTACAATCACATGCATTTAAAAGGATTGATGCATACCATGCAATGAAGCAATGACCTCTATTTATACACTAGGTGAAAACCCATTGAGACAAGTCTCTTTTATACCTTTCACCAGAATTCCCATGTTGCACCGTTATGTACAGTGTCTCAAGATGTTTTGATGTATAAATGTAATTTTTTGTCTGTCTCTGTCTGTGTACGAAACTTGCGAAGGATTTGGCTCGCAAACTGTGGGGTTTATGTTTTAAAAAAGTAGCCAGGTACCACGCCATAAGCCCCGTGGTGAACCAGCTTCATTTCATTTTCGCATCCGTCAACTTTAAAGTAGTTAAATTAACCATTTAATGCTATTATATATATTTATTTTCTTATGCCACTCACCGCGCGCCAAAGCGCGCACTCGCGCAAAAGCTGGCGGGGGTTCGCCCCTAGCAACGCACATGCGCCATATGTGGAGGGGGAATTCTCATTCGCGTTTAAAATGCAGGTAAATTCTTCACAGTGTGATGTCCTCTTCTCCCCCCCCCCACCCCAATGCGTGCAGTTACTACTATCGAGTCGGTAGATGTTACTACTATAGGCCGTAGATATTACTGCAAAGCGGGTGGGGGGATCAGTGGGTGGGAAGGTAGCAGCCCAGCCACAGCCTATCAAGGTGCCACCTCGGCCGGCTGGGAAATCTAGGCGAGGCCGGGGGCTCTGCACGGGACTAGGCCTCACCATGGCACTGTTAAGTACTAGTTTCTTGCTTCTTTCACTAAACTCACGTTTGGAAATCTATATATATAAAATCGCAAATCTGTCTGTCTGTGTGTCGCCGGACCATACGCAGTTTCATTGGACGGCGGTTGCCCCTGGCAACGGGTAGCGACGCATTCGCTGCGGGGTGGACGCCATTTTTAATTCCCGTTAAAAATATGCGCACGCATTAACACGCGACTGAGGTAAATTCATCAAAGTTTCACGTCCTCTTCACTCCCCCCCCACCCCAATGTGTGCAATTACTATTATAGGGTCGGTAGATAATAAAATTATAGCGATTAGACAGTATTATTGTAGCGCGGGGGGGGGGGGGTTAACGGCACCAGTACCCAGCCTCAGCCGGGTGGGCAATTTAGGCGAGGCCGGAGGCTCTGCACGGTACTAGGCCTCGACACCCCACCACACTATAGGCCGTACATATTACTGCACAGCGGCCGAGGATATCGTGGCTGGGGGGGGGGGGGCAGGGGTAGCAGCCCATCTGTGTATATATGTAAGGTTTTTAAGAAATATATTTTTCACCCGGGCAAAGCCGGGTACTTCCGCTAGTATTAATAGAATGTTTGTGTGCAGACAACTAATATTAAAAAATTAAGTTCCTAAATATTACAATACTAATTTGTGTCTAAGTCCATGTGTGCCTGTGAATCGATGTGCGTGTTTGCGTCGATGTGTGTGTGTGCAAGTCGATGTGTGTGTTAGTCAGTCGATGTGTGTGTAAGTCGATGTATTTGTGTGTGCGTCAATGTGTGTGTGTGTGCGTCCATGTGTGTGTGACATCATAACAACAGTCTGGACCACTGGACGGGTTCCGCAGGATTGGAAGGATGCCCTTGTGGTCCCCCTCTTTAAGAAGGGGGACCGCACAGACTGTAACAACTACAGGGGCATCTCACTCCTCAGTGTGCCGGGAAAGGTCCTGGCAAGGATTATTCAACATCGCCTTGCCAAGCACACTGAGGAAAGGCTTGCGGAGCCTCAATGTGGTTTCAGGAAAGGGCGGTCCTGCACAGATGCCATATTTTCTGTCCGTTTGCTACAGCAGAGGTGTAAGGAATTCCAACAAGACCTACATCTCTGCTTTATTGACCTGGTCAAGGCCTATGATACCATCAGTAGGCCTGGGCTCTGTGTTGTTCTGCGTGCTTTCGGAGTCCCTGACCCTCTGCTCACGATCATTAAGGAGCTTCATGATGGTTAGCGGGCCCGGGTAAACCTACGTGGCTGGGAGTCAGAGCCATTCCCTGTACACCTTGGGGTGCGACAGGGATTTCCACCGGCGCCTACAGTATTTAACATATTTTTCAACCACGTAGTTCGAGAAGCCTGTCATGGCTGTATTAGAGGAATCTCCATCTGGTTCCAACACAATGGTAGGATAATTTAGTGATTTCTGCTCACTCAGAGAAGGAGTTATGAGGCACTGCTGCTGAACGTGGAGCATGCTACTATGAGGCGGGGCCTTATCATCAGCCCCTCCAAAACTAAGAAACTGCCTGGGTATTTTATGTCATCAAACGCTTGATTTTTGTTTTCTATCTACGTGACTTTATAGAAAGAACCAAGAATATGAATTCCTGCAGTCACGAACGTTTTAAGTCTATTGTTTGGAGTATAACAATGTAACACACACTTAGCACTGCATTCAACGTGCTCAATTATAACCCCTTGAAGTGTTATGTAATATTTTTGCCACGATGCATTACTCTCAAAATGCCAACTAAACTGCACACTGTCATTTCAGTTTTTCCTAAAGATGATCATTTAGTGAAGTTGGCATTGAGCACCACACATTTTTTTCCCAGCATCTCTAGGAAGGCCCAGTGGGATGCTGTAACTCGACTTCCTATCAAAAGGTTGCAGGTTCCAGTCCCGGTTATGGGAAAATGTAACACATTACTTTTCCCGCATCTACAAATAAGTATCTTTGTGGAAGTCTAAAGTTGTCCTGTAAAGAGACTGGTTCCCAACACAAGATCTTGCAATGTTACTGCTGCCCCAAAATAAGATGTAAGCCACAACAGCCTAATACTCGTTTATATATGGAGACAATTTTAATGAATTCTTGTTACAGTATTACATTGAGTAGGATGTGATAATGTAGGGGGTTACCAAAAAAAATACACAATGTAGGATATGTTATCTAGCTGAATGGTACAATAGTTATTGCACTTGACACCCAATCAGAAGATCATTCATTATAATGGGTTCATTCAGCCAATCATGAAGTGTGTAGCAGCACTTTGTGACACTTCAACAGAAGTTGTCCGATAGGTACACTGGTTTTTGCCATTATAAACGTGGAATTTTGACCACAGACTCAGAACCACAGAAGACAATGAGGGATCCAATGTTCATGCTCATTCAAGCACACAGAGAATTGACAAAACAATTAGCATCCAAATACTTCAAAGTGCACTACCCTCAACAGTTAAAACAACCATTCAACCACCGCTTCCGGTGGATCGAATTGGCCCTTCAGCAGTGATCATGAGCGAATGGATGGCTACTGTGATCCGTGTGACCTGCGTGATGGAGAGAGGAGGGAGGGGTAGTGGGGCTGGCAGATGGTCTCGTGAGGTAATGGGTATGGCAGCAGCGCACATTTGCTTTTTCTCTGAAGGCAAAATGCACTACCCCCTGCCGCACTGTACACAGCCGCACATGCCATAACCACTCTCAAACACTCGTTGTTTACAAATAGACCCAAAAGACAGCAATATACCAAACCAAAGTCAAATTTCTCATGAAGAGATGTCATTGAGTTAACCCATAATATGCATACTGCTGTATAATCGTACACACTTGCATATATGAGCACTGTACTGCATAGCACACATGGTGTACTAGATGTAAACATATATGGGAGTCAGTTTATATGCACACAAAGGCTTCAAAGGACTGACTCAAAGCGCTCTCCTGTGAGATAAAAAGGCTTTCATTCATTCATGTATAGTACAGTATTCATGCAGTTGATTTCAATTCTGTTACAATACATTTTCCTGCATATCCAATGCTATGCACTTAACTGCATGGTTGAGAAGCATTGCTTATTTTTATCACTCACGTTGGCAATATCAAGAAGAGCTTCACTTCATTCCAATTATTAATGAAAATAGTGTGCAAGATAAAAAGGCAAGGGGTGATCACTATTGTGTCCTATTCATATCCAAATAATCACAACCATGCGTGTGCACAAAAACAAATTTAGCACCAATACAACCATAAGCAAGGGAAAACATAATCACGTTAACTGTCCGTAAACACGTCCATGCATGTGCACAAAAACAAATGTAACACCAATACAACCATAAACAAGGGCTTTTCATCAAAACAAACACCAGTAACTCGATAACAATAATAATTTTATGTTATATAGCGTAATTCGTGCAATTGCATCCCACAACGCTGCACATCAATTATCCAGTTCCATACACAAATATATAAACAAAAAACCCCACAACTTAGCAAAACAAAGAATAAATGCCACATCAAAATCACTTGCCTGTTTTCCTCTTGTGCACCACCACAATGTTGCTGAGCGACGAGCAAGGGGCAGATGAGCTCATGCTTGCGTGCTCTGTGTCGGGGCAGGCACTGGAGGCAGCGCGCTCCTGTCGTCCCACAACAGGGTGCAAAGAGCCGCCTGTCTGGGATGTTGCCTCCCTCCCGCCTGTGCTCAGCGTGTAAATGTCCTCCTCTGAGCCGAAGAGATCTCGGCCGCTGCTTCTTCTCCTGCTTATGGCGTCATCCACCCTCGAGGGAGTCTCCGGAGTGACCTCATCATCATCCACTGAGAGTCCCGAGGGTGCTGCGGCGATACCGGGTGTTCGTAGGAGTGCTCCGTTCCACGAGGCGGAAGCCCCTCTCACTCCATCCGATGGGAACATGGCTTGCAAGTTAAGGGGACCGGCATTTATAAGGGCAGTAGAGTTGGCATTAGTGACGAACCGCACATTCAATGTGAATGGATCCTCCATCGCCTCTAAAGCCGGGCTGACCTCGTCGGATGGAGTTCCGCTTGATGCTGGGCTGGCGTGGCTGTTGACACCATCAGTGAGTGGTGTGCTGCAAGACGATCCTGTCATGTCATCAGGAGGCAGACTCTTGCATTCCAAACCAGAAGGATGGAGACTTAATTTTTCCGAGAGACTCGGGGCAACCCCACTTCCTTTAGGGAGGTTGCTGCATGGGCCTAATCCATTTACGTCAGTAGCACTGCTCAAAGCAGAGCGAACTCCTTTCACTTCGCAATCAATACTAAACTTTAAGGTATCATTGTGGGTCGATTGGGTGCGATCCATCCCATCCACAGTCACATTCGCGGGTGCGAGCAACGTACCCTGCATTACCATATGTGCACCCAACGATTCTTGCGTTCCTCCTTGCCAGCTGTACTGTTCCGGGTGCAGCCGATTCTCCTGCGGTGTCGTTGCTACTGCTGTAATGTTCCCACCAACGTTGCCTGTTATTCCCCCATGCCGTCCCTGCCCAGGCCCCGTGCCTAGTCGCTCGGAATGGCTGTAGCTGCGCTTCGGCACCCCCCGGAAAACCTCCACGGCATCACTTGTGGTTGACGCGATCGAACTGCCATCCGAGGACGAGCTCGCTACGCTGCTCATACTGGGCCGGCGGTCCAGACTGTCCAGATTTGACGAGATGCTGTGCGGCAAAAGGCCGGCAAGAGCAAGTGGCGTTGTCGTCCACTCGTTGAGAACACTCGATTTGTAGGAGAGGGTGAAGGTCAAGCTGGCGGTGCCCTGTGTACATACGCATCATGGGTAAATTGGTACATTGGTCCCAATCACGGGAATAGATGTGCATTGTGTATCAACACAGTTGTGTGTAATCATTTACCATTGACCTTTGTATTAATAGCCAGATGGTGATTTGGCAAAAATTGTTAATTCATTATGTACAACTCTGTGGGAGCAATAAGGAGCCCGTAACAAATGATCATTGAAGTACATTTGTATGATGGATAAAAAAAATTGTGCTGCCAAAAACCAAACAATATATCAGTGTACCATGTTGACTTGACAACAGTGACACATTAGTATGTTTTTTTTCTGAGATTTCACAGATAAATGGTCAAAGGTCAATGGGATAGTAATGTGAATATCTCTACCAGAGAAATTCTGCTATAACATTGGATTATCCAAAATACTGTTTAACACGTATTGCTTTCGCGACCAATATCATCCATAATACAGTTTTTTTGGTTAGATCGCATAACTTTATAACATTGGATTATGCTCGTTAAACAGTTAAAGAAAATATTTCACACAAATACTACGTCTGACATGCATGTTTACGTTCTTAAGTATATGAACAGTAACTTAGAAAATTACACATTATAGTGCACACAATTAGAGAGATATAGCCGGTGGCATGTGGTTTGATCACCCATCTCACAATTGGAAGGTTGAAAGTTCAAATTCTGGTGAAGGGTTGGTTCAGCTAATGATTATCCTTCTAGGATTGATAAATGCATACCACTGGCTGAGAAGTCAGCTGTGCTTGTCCAATGAAGATTGGCAATTTCCTGATGAAAATAGTAGCATTGACTCTGTGTGAACTGGATCAGTGGTGAGCTCCCAGATCACATAATCCAATGACTATTAAAAGCCTGTGCATGCATTGGATATAAAATAACCAACATAAATATTACAATGTGATGGGAATCAATACTTGAAAATGTCCCATATACTTCATGGTGAACAAATCATGGTGGCACATGCCTGTAACCCAGCAGGGTTGATGATCACACATAGGTCACCATGGATGCGACTCAAACTTCTGCTGTGCTGCGAGGTGGCCAGGAGATGGCAGGATAGCATATACAATTCTGACCCATTTGTGCTCACTTTAAATGTCATGTCATACGAAATGTTTTTTTCTCCTGTTTATTTCCACTTGCAAAACACGTATATCCTGACAAGTTAAGTAACACGATTCAGAACACTCCTGAAAACAGTCTTGACAGTCAATGAGGCTTTCGTAAATAAAGGATGTTATTATGTTAATGCAAATAAGCTGTGTGTGAACATGGAAATAATGCTCTGTGCTATCTGTTCTTAATAATGTGATGCTCATTTCCATTGGCAGTTCTAAGCCATCCATTGAAAATTACACAATCTTCGGGATTGTAATCATCTTCATAGGAGACACAAATATGGACTCCTAAAAAAATTGGTATTAACTTTTGCCGACCCCGGAGTGTTGATAAATGGGCGAGTCACAAGTGGGACTTGAACCTTTGGACTGCGAGTCAGACGATTTAACCACAGTGCCACCTGGCAGGACCGTGACACAACGTTGCATCAATGTGCGACCTGGAGGTAGGAGAGGAAGATGGTGGTCTCCTCAGGGTCCATGAGGAAGGCGCTTGGATGGTAGGCGTCAGCCAGGGTGGCCTTCTCACGCAGCAGAGACGTGACGTAGCACTCTATTAGGCTGTCATTCAACGCCAGGCGTAACCAGGCCCGGCAGCGGCCTATGTCCGTGTTGATGAATTTTAGGCTGTTCAATTCTGCCAGCACATTCCTGCAGGTGACATAAGAATAACACAGGCTTTAGATAAAATATTCTAGATTTGAAGTTTTCGTGACTGCGAGGATCCATACTCTTTGGTTCTTTCGGTAAAGTCACGTAGGTAGAAAATAAATATGAATAAAATCACGTGATTTTATTGTTTGATCTGTTATTTCCATGTGACCCTTTCACTATTTTTTTCTGTTTCATTTGGATTATTTTGCCAAGAGGTTTTTGTGGGACTATTTGTTATTAGCAACACAGACACAATGGTGAGCAATTAATATTAAATGTTAATGAATGCAGGTTGTAATTACGTGGGAAGACAGTGGAGTTACAATTTAGAAGTTGTTCATCAAAATGAGGAAGCAAATAACTTTGTGCAGTAGACATTTCGACATTTAAAAGAACACTTGTGTTGAAACATGTCTAGTTCGTCAGCAAGTATGATTCAAATGGCAAAATGAAGAGATCGGAGTCGCACAAATAGGCTTCTCGGGTAATTCCTGCAGTCACGAAAGCTTCAAATCTAGGTTATATGAAGTTAGAAAGACTAACGTGAGTCCAAAAGGCTGAGCTGTGTGCTAAGCAAAATAACAAGAGATATTCTATTTGGCAGTGAGGCACATCCCTCCGCCCCATGCCTTCACCAACCCACACCAAAGCAGTCTTTATGAGCGGAGTGACAATATTGCAGCTATTTTTTTATCCACCACAACAATATTAATCCATGACTTTGAAAAGTTAACATGTGCTTGTGTAAATAAAAAAATCGAAGTTTGCTACCAATATGGATTTCAAATCTTCCTCTATGTACTGTGCTTCATAGACTAACATGGAGAGACTCAAACAATACACTATGCATTGTAACAAAGGTTGTTAAAATGCATGGCTGATAAGGCTATGACAAAAACGATTACTGGCTTGCTGTACATGATTAAATATTTCCCAACAACCATAATAGTTTTCCCTTTTTTAACTAAGAAAAATAAATGGAGCTGCCAAAAACCAAACAATATATCATAGTGTACCATATTTCAACCGAGAAGATGGGTACAAACTGAGCAATCATTGGAAGGATGTTATTAACCAGGTAAAGTCATAACTAGGCTGTGATGCTTCCATCCTACCTGCTGATGTTAACAGTTATTTCAGACTCTCTGAGTTACATTACCGTGTTAATGTCTTCACATTAACAGGCTATATGTCTCACTAACATAGCCGCTCCTTCCCTTTTCCTCGATGTGGCGGTGGCTCTCGTTGTTTAATAGGCTGAATATGTCTCATTAACACAGCCGCTGCTGTGGGAGCCATCTCACATTGACATGCTAATCTCTAATCTCTAGCAATACAATGGCCGAGGTATATTACTTGTAAATTCCATCTCTTGCCCAACCCACTTACCCTTGGGTTGTACCCATCTCAAACCTATAACCTCTTGCTGCAGTAGTTCTCTCGCTATATTTCTCCTGCCTCAGCAGTTCGCCTGCTGTATTTTTTCACCTGAAGACGATTGCTTGTATTGTGATCGAAACGTTGTGATTTTTAATTCTTTTTTCTATCTACGTGACTTTACCGAAAGACCCAAAGCGTATAATGTACCATGTTGACTACTGTAGAGTCGGCAGATACTACTATTGAGTCAGTAGATACTACTGCAGTCAGTAAATACTACGATAAAGTAGGTAGATACTACTATAGAGTCAGTAGATACTACTGTATAGTTAGTAGATACTACCGTAGAGTCGATAGATACTACTATTGAGTCAGTAGATGCTACTATAGATTTAGTAGATACCACTATAGTCAGTAGATACTACCGCAGTCAGGAGTTAGGAATCTAGCTCGGGGCTAAGAGCCAGGGGTGAGGCCAATGGCTTATTCTATGAGTGTCATGTCATCACACCTGACAAAGTGAACAAAATGGTGTTTAACAAGTCAGAGGCAATTGTGTGCGAATTTGTAAAACTGCGTGTGTATCAGTTTGTACGAGTGTCACCGCATCAACCACATGCATCTTGAAATCACACGTTGCATGTGATGTCAGGAGCATGGCTCTGGTTTGGATATGCCAATGAAAAAGGCATATAGAATTATAGATTTTAAATTATGGCTATAATCTTTTACAACAAAAATAATGGGGGGTTTTTCTTAAAAATATCAACATTTCCCATGTTCTTGGCTTATCAGACAACATTCAATTTTATTTGGGATGTCGATCTTGGTCAAGTCATATGGTCAATTCTTGCACTGTCAGTCTCATTGGATCAAATCGTATTCCAATCTACAAAAGAGCACTCGGTAATTTTTTGGGAAGGGTCTTCCTTTTACACTGGAGAAGACTGTACCTGTGCGTGATGGACTTGAGCAGGCTCCAAAAGACCGGTTCGGGGAGTCCACCGGAAGTCCGGTTATTCCACCGGACGCGTTTGTCTGAGGGGGCATCACTGCGGAGGTACTTGTCCTTGAGACCGTGCATGAAGGTGGCCTCCAGGGCACAGCACAGCTTGTTAGCATCGTCCTCATCGCTCGTCACGTGCTTGCCCGACGTGACATGGCTCAACTGCAGATTGCGCACGGTGTCCGCCACGCAGTAGCTGATCGTCTGAAAATGGCGGGTGGGAGTGAGAGTCAGGCCTCGTACAGCTCGGTACTAAACGTATGACATGGATTTTGTTGCCGGTTATGTACAAATTGTGTTTTCAGTCATGTCACGAGACATATGCACGTGCTTATGCAAGAACCAGCTGTGTGTGTCACTTCCACAATTGCTGACTATGAGGGATAAACATAGATCATGTCATACAAGCCAACGTGTCTTCCTGCTAAAGCGAGCAAGACGTTGTGCTTGTATCCATTGGCAGCCTTAAGCCGAAAGTGGAAACGTTACATTCTTATCGCAAAAGCAGTCTCTCAATAGGACAACCACTACTGGACTGTCTACCAAGTGGTACTGATTTTACTGAATCTAGAGAGAACAGTCAATCCCTGACCGGAACTGATCAATGGCCATTAAACATTTTTGTTGGGATAATCCTTTTTTGAGAATTAATTTAATTCAGACCTGAGGTCAATTATAGTTGTGTCATATGTAATGAATTGTAATCACACTGGAAATGTAATTTTTTATAATAATGCTGCTGCAATTATAATTGGCCCTGGGTCTGATGTGTTATTATGAAGGTAATCAACCAGTACATGCGATGCGTAACATGATGAGCAAAGTGTTATCAGAGTAAGTGTAGAATATTCATTGTATCGGTCCCTGGTAATTTGATTATAGACATGATTTATTTTTTTGCCAACACTGCATGCAGTGCACTCACTTTCTTGGTCTCCTTTTCCGAGATATTTCTGTACTCATCTGTGCCGGACATGACGCAAACGCTGTAGCAGCCTGCCCCTCACCTGCAGAGGACAGCACAGTAGCATTCACGCAGACTTGAGGACTTTGTGCATCAGCATTTTCCAGTACTAGCTTGGCAGAAACCAGGTAATGGATACATAGATAACACACAGGTAAGCACTAAAGTAAAATTAAATGTATTACATTGAACAATGGACCAATGTTACTCTGTTTCATCAGTAAAGGCTCTCTAAACAGAGCACCGAGCTTAAGTGAAATATGTAAAAGTTATCAATGAACACTACAAGACTAAAATATAAATTATAATGAATGGTCAATTTAAGACGTATTATTATGACTATGAGAAACACTTGAAAATAAATAACTGTTTTGTGCAGGTGAAGGTCAAATACAGTTTCAAAATAAAATCATAGGCACAGTGTATGCAACTTATGCATATGTTAGTTATTTTGCACAGATGGCAACATCTCATTGAAAAGGTTAGAAGGAATTGTACTGTGAATAGGAAATAACTCAAAGAATGAAAAATGAATTGCGCCATCATAAACAACATTCTTACAAAATTGCTTTCTGCTATACATAGTCTTATCTGTGGGCTAAAATGGTAACATTGATAGATATTCTGAACACTACAATGATTTATAAATAATGAAAAGATGAGTATACATTCATGAAGATAACATGCCATTTGCCTAATGATTTTCAAGTTATTACTGTAGAAAGTAGGACCCTGAAACACCTTGAAATAGTATTACATTTGCATGTTAAATATATCAAATATCCCCGTTTAATTTTCAAATTAAGTGGTTTTGACTATAAGACTGGCATACTCATAAATAATCTCCAAAGAAACACCAGAAAGGAATTATGCAACCACTACCATTGCAAAAGATAGCCATTTGAGATTTTTCTCACTGATAACCATACAAAGTCTTACACAAATAGCATACGTTGTTGGGGATGGAGACTCCATTGTTCTGGGTCCATAGTGGAATGATATTTGAAACCGGTCATGGGCTTCATCCTTCACCAACTCACAAAACCCCCCAATGACTGACATGGTGTGGAAGTGCATCCAGCAGTGGATTTACCAAGGCCTAAAGTTGTTACATTTTATGATTTTACAGCAACAATGCAATACATAACAGTACGACAATTTGAGACTAAAATAAACAAGACATACAACGAGTACCACTTTGTGGAAAGCTCAAACCTGCTTAAATACCTAGATCTGACCAAAACTGGTGCAGACCACAAAAGAACATATGCAGATTTCCCCAAAAGGATGTTAAACCACACAATGCATTTCATGCCACCTGCAGAGATGTGCATTAGCCAACACTTGTTCAAGTAGGGAAGATAACCTTTCATTTGACTTCAGTGAGGTGGCTGGGTTTGGTTATGTAAATGTATAGCCGTTTTGTCAATAATGCACTAATATAATAGGTCTGCCAGAGAGCTGGGCCAGTACTACTAAGATTATGGGTACAAATTAAGATTTCAGGTGTACAGTATTGGGTTGATGGTATAAGTGCAGTTTCTAGAACTGGACATAAAACCAGAATAGTTTGTATCTACTTTGGCTAATAGGGCTATAATTTATTACATTGGAACTAGGGTAAGGGATCTGCTTGCCACCCTCGCGTACACGCACCACGCAGATCCGCACTCAGTATAACACGCACCAATCACACGCACGGGAATACACTAGACGGGGGTCAAAGATTAAAGGGCACTGACGTCACCAGGACCAGGCGTGCGAGACGAGGATGTGTATTGGGAACGAGGGCAGAGATGGAGGGGTTAAAAGGGGCTGTGAGACGCGTGTTCGGGGTTGGTTTTGGAACGAGTTTTGCTGTGGGTTGACGAATAAAGAAGTGCTTAACCAGTCTCCGACTCCTCTTCACTAGTATGGGACAAACCCACTCTTAATTGGACATAAAAGAACATGTAGTGGTGGGAAAACAGGCCAAATAAAAATGAATCCACAAATAGTCCTGGTGTCAGGTTACTGTAACATTCCCTGAAAATAGTCCTGTAGTGTCACCTTGCTGTACCATTCCCCTAAAATAGTTTTGTGGTGTCACCTTGCTGTACCTTTGCCTGATGAGACATGACGGGCCTTTTGGAATTCTGAAAGAAGTATTTCCGACTCTTATTCCATGCCTCCAACAACTAAACTTTGATTCAAGGTAAGGTGCCAAAATTATCAAATGAATGTTGAATCATTGCTCACCTATGTAGGCAAACTTGAGTAGGTGGTCGAAATTAAAACATTATGGCTGGAAACAGTCTAGATATAGGATGACCACTGATCGACTTGTAACAAAGTGGTGATAATTTCATGGACCATGGATGGATGAATGATTGGTTGGCCCCAAAATGGAATTTAAATTTGCAAACTTCTGACTGTGAAATGGATGCTACAATTATACAGCCAAATGGCATACATGATTTGAAATATCTGTAGCTACTTGGTAATTATTGAGGGAAATGACAAGTGTATTATCGATGTCTTATTTCATGTGAAAAGGTGAAGTTAGCCATGTTATATGTGGAAATTGAGGTTGTAAAAACGTAACTGAACATAAAATATCCCACTACAGCATTCACAATGACCAATCATAACATGTGCAGGAGTTGTAGGTCAACCGACACATGAAAAAATTACCTGCGCTTTTAAAATAAAAAATAACTGTTGCTCAATCACTATATTTGTCAACCAGATCCTCTTTGCAGTGTATTTTGGACTCTCACCTAATTACTACAATAGCCCAGAAATGTGTGTAACGCACGTGACGTCACTCCACACGCCGCACCCCCCCCCCCCTCATTAATAATACAATAATCGTGAGCGGGTGGATTTTTACACTCATGCGGAAGGTCGAGTGGAAATATTTTTTTTCGCAAAGTCGCTTCAAATATAATGTTTCTTTACAGAAAGTGACGGTCAAAAATAAATCTAAATCTACGCAGCACAGTGCTACATCCGCACGTGACGTCACTGCAAAAGAGCCCCCCTCATTAATAATCGTGAGCGCGTGGATTTGTACACTCCCGCAGGTCGAGCGAAAATAATTGTTTTTAATGCAAATTCGCCTTAAATTTGAAGTTTATTTATTGACAGTTAATCAAAATAATAATTCTACGCAGCAACAAATTTTATTTGGTGTCTTTATTTATTTCTTCAGCACTTGAAACAAAAAGCAGGTCAAATTTTTCTTCTAAATAATGTCAAAATATTTACATTTCTCCGTGATTTTCCAGACATTGTATCGAATTCAAATTGATTACAACCCCAGCGAGCGAAAGCAAAAGAAAATAAAGTATCAGAGCAGTGATTTCAAACTAATTGAAGGTGAGTTAAATGAAGCGAGGTGTTTTATGACATAGTTTCGTGCAAGAATCACTGCCATTAATACAGTACAAGAGATTCACACAAAATATCGTATACCGAGGTTTCATTTTTTTAGTTAAGAAAAATGTATTTACGTGCAACAATTCCTAAAAATATGCACAATCACACAAGAAAACGTAAATGTGCATCTTTAATAGTACAGCTTCCGTCCTAGGATGGGCAAAAGGCTAATTGAAGTTCAGTTAAATACAGTGCTACAGTGACAAGTGAGGTTTTTATGACATAGTTTGTGCAAGCATCACTGCCATTAATAGTGCTACAGTGAAATGCAGTGTAGTGTTTGATGATATTCTATTGTGCAAGATTAAATATTACAGCTTCCGTCCTAGGACGGGCAAAAGGCTAGTTACATATACAACAGAAACAATGAACTAAGTGAGTTTTGCTCTTTTGTGACAAAATACGTTTTAAAATAAAGCACATAATGCAGACCTCTGACCCCGTATCCGAGTGAAGTTGTAAAATGGAACAAGGCTGCATAATCCTCAGTGCACTGATAGGAATTCTCTTAAAGTGGATAGGTGCACAGGAAAAAAACATGTTAACCAATGTTTTCAGGAACAGAGTAAACAAGCCATACCCATAAAGCATAGCTCATAATCCCAAGTGAGCATTACATCATGCCGACACACTTTTACAAACCATTATCATAGTCTAGATTTGAAGTTTTCGTGACTGTAGGGATCCATACTATTTGGTTATTTCGGTAAAGTCACGTAGGTATAAAATAAATTAAATCTATCATAGTATTTTGAACATCATACGCCAATCCATTCCAGTGAGCCGGGTTATACAGACTGTATACAGAATTGTCCAAGTTATACAGAACCAACATGTTGATGGCCACATTAGGCTGGTAATTTCTAATTGTGAATGACCAAATTACAGTCTACATTAGTGTATGGGACATTAAAGACCATGTGATGTGATTTTCCCAGTGCTGCACCCCTAATCACAACTTAGCAAATTGCTCATAAGCACAAACATGTTTTACTACCTTGTTGTAGCTATGCTCACCCAGGTACTTTTTACCTCAGTGAGCTGTCAATGGACTAAATTAGTCAAACTAAATTGGCTGCTTTTGAAAAGTAATTTTAACGTGCACAAGGATTTATATGCACTAATTCACACAAAACACTGCAGGTCAAAAAACAAGTGCCCCAGTAGTATTGGCAGGTTAATGTACATACATTTATAGTTATCTTTCCAACATTAAGTTTAAGCATAATCTACATTATAATAACTTGAACAAAATTATAATTCCTGATTTTTTTAAAATACCAATACAAAAGACATTTCACGTTTTACTGTTCGGACGTGGTAGAAATTTGTAGACAAACATAGAATACTTTTACATATCGAATTTAAATATTGTAATTATCACCACACGCAGTACAATGGCACAAATAATTAAACGCACCATTTACATAACTGTGTTTAACATTTAAAAAGTTAAAGCTCAGAATGGCTAAAACCAGCACGTGTTGATGCTCATGCAGACTTCCCACCAAGTGATACTGCACCAACAGGTGGTGGCGCTTATGTTACGGACCCCAAAGAATCACAGATGACGATACGACTGCCAAGATATAAAAACTCCTCGAGTCAAATTCGCATGTTGACTTAACAGCTGCATTGGCGAATTGACCAGTTGGCGATGGAGACAATGGCACACACTTTCGTCAAAACTTCTAGGAAAAGGAACATTCGTCAACATGTGAACTGCTTTCTGCTTGACCAACTGATTTACATCCCATTCTTTATATAAACTGATGAGTACAGTTCAGCGGGCAGAACGAAATGAACGCCTCATCTTCACTGAAAACATTACTGTGTTATTGGGTGCTTGACAAACAATCCCTAGCGAGTTTCATTTTTCAAATTTTAGTTTCAAAGTTCGACAAGTGTGTTGAGTTTTTAAAGTTAATTATTTTCCATTCACGAAGGCATCACCAGATAGTTTGCCCCTGAAATGTGGCAGTCAAACCTTTCATTATAATAGTACAGTACTTGGGCAGAGGAGTTACTGTAGTTGGATTGTTGGACCCCCCCCAACTCCACCCCACTTCTCTGCCACAGAAATGCAAGGCAGTCAAATTCATTCTTTTGAAATTGTAATTGTACCCTGGTTGCATCCAGTTTGTCCCGAGGAGAACACCCCCCCCCCTCCCCCATCATGTATAGTCCCATCAAAGTGTTCTAAAACATTTTTTTATTTCAATTGAATACTTTGGATTATTTTTAGGATTTGTCTGCTGTTACTCAATGGCTACTATTACGTAACTTCATATGCCTCCCATAAAAAAAAAACTCGTCATAAGAAAACATTTTAAATGTAATTCCCATCAGGTCAGATGGTATTAAGTGCAGTCTACAAACCCCATTGACTCTCTACCTCTTCAGACCTCTGTTTAAGTGCTCGGAAGAAGGGGCCGTGGCAGATTAAGTTGTGCTTGTTCACCATTGCCAACGCAGCATCACCAATAGTAATACTTGTTAAGCCACATCGAAATGTAGATACTGTATTATACAGTATTATACAGTATCTAGAAAATTAATAAGCACATATGCATACAACAAACATTATCAGAAAACATCTCCATCGCCTCAAGACTCCTTAACAGGATAGTCCTGAATTTGTATTTAAAGCTTTCGTGACTTCATATTCTTGGTTCTTTCGGTAAAGTAACGTAGAAGGGAGATAATAACATAATAAAAATATTAAACAATAAAAATTATCACGACGTTTCGACTGCAACACAAGCAATCATCATCAGGTGTGAAATCCACAGCAAGAAAATGTTTCTAATTGTGAAATCCACAGTAATATTTTTTTTATTTGCGGTGGATTTCACACCTGATGATGATTGCTATTTGTTGTAGTCGAAACGTCGTGAGAATTTTTATAGGTTTTTAATTTTTATTATTTTATTATTTCCCTTCTACGTGACTTTACCGAAAGAACCAACAATAGGATAGTCTTGCTTAAGAGTCTGGGGAATTTTACTAAAGTACTACACATCGGTTTTTTTTAATCCTTTTGAAAGTTAACCGAAGTGTTTCGAGAAAAAAACACAAGATGAGCAGGGAATAATAATACAACACTCAAAAAGGCCATGAAATATAACAAATTAAAAGTACGACTGCCTCCCATCTCAAGGGTGAGATAGGCCTTGAGCCCACTGTGATAACGCAAACATTTCTCCACGCTGAAGTGTGACCTACCCCCATAGGAATACCACTCTTAACTTCTCACAAACAAGTGGTACACGGGCATATAGCTAAAACTATCGACGGAATATCAATAAAAATACACCATCTCGGTGGTGGTTGGGGGGGGGGTCTCAAATAACGCGGTTCCATTCCTACCAGATCCAACTTAAAACTCAACTCCTAAGTCGCCGTCATAGACGGACACTAAATAAGCGACACCAACGTTGACATTTAAAACAAAAAAGCGTAAAACATAAAGCCCCACCACCCAATTATCGTGTAAAACGTAATCAAATCACACACGAACATGCATTAATTGTACCTTTAACTCGAGGCGCAGGCCCCCCCCGCCCCGCACATCGTGAACAACATCTCCCGACGACGACGTTTTACAAACCGTACGCGTGTTAAAACTACTAAAGATAATAAATGTAACAATCGTTGTTGTAAACACAAAGTGGGTTACCTGGAACACAACGATCACCACCGAAGCGCTCACCATGTAAACACTGCGGCAGCCGCCTTCTTCCTCATGACGACTTTGCCAAATCCGGCCCCTCCCCTCCCCCAAACGGAAGTACCGTCAAATCCGCCGCGCGTTGCGTCGGTGCGCATGCGTAAACTCGCTCCTGGGGGGGGGGGTAGACATGCGGTGGGACGTAAATTTGGCGAGAGGCCTTGCCGAATACGGCCCCCCCCCTGAGTGTATTAATAGCGGTAGTGTAGTGATTCTAGATTTGAAGCTTTCGTGACTGCAAGGATTCATACTCTTCGGGTTTTTTCGGTAAAGTCACGTCGGTAAAAATACAAATTAATAATAAAAAATACAAATTAATAATAAAAATAATAATAAAAATAATAATAATGGAAATAAAATAATAAATCACGACGTTTCGGAGGCAACACAAGTCTCCGTCATCAGGTGTATATGTATATTATTATTTATATTATAATTTTTCTTATTTTACCTACTTGATTCTAGATTTGAAGCTTTACCTACTTGACTTTACCCAAAAAAAACCTAAGAGTATGGTGGCGTAGTGGTCAGCGCGCTGCGCTACGAACCTAGCGACCCGGGTTCGATTCCCGCTCACGGCAAACACCCACCCCGTAAAACATATAAGCCCCAGTCCTGGGCCTCCACTAGGTCGACTCAGCTCCAAATGAGTACTTTGTACGGTGTGTAAAAGAAATCGCCACTAGGGAGACAAAGGCGGTCGGGCGTGGTGGTGCTGGTCCAACCCCCCACCCCCTCGTGTGCCATGCCAGCCTTCATAGACGCTTAAGGCTATAAAGGGAGGATCGTTGTCATTAATATGTAGGCAACGCTTACAACGCAACATTGCCGGCTGGCAAGTTGTATAGCGTGATGATGATGCTGTGGGGTAGTACTGAATTTTTTATTTTACAGTATTACCAATGTTACAGGTTGTAAATGTGAATTACAGTACTGTACTTGCATGTTTGCCTCTTTGTGGCCGATCAGACGTTTTACCTCTAATTTTAAACTCCTCGCAGGGTTTCAATTATTTTATTCTTAAACACTCCACAATGTTTACTTGAGACTCGTGGTTGAGAGAAGGTAACACCAATCTACAAAAACATCGTGATTTGCAGTGACGGGCAGTTTTTAAATGCGGCTCGCATTGCTTATTTTTTATGGCAACCGTGGCTTGGTTTATATTGGGGGTGGTGTGTTTTTGTTTATTAACAGCCTGACCTTGTCTGTGAGATAGCCCCGAGGCCATATGGCCATCGTGTGTGTGTGTGTGCCCTTGTTTCTCTAAGCCTCGTGTGGCATTGTGGTGCATCTCAACCGGCTCCGCGATTCACCACAAATCTACGACCAACATTTACCCCGATTTAACCATGGAATGGCCAAGCAGTTTTCTTTTTAAATTCAGGTTGCGCTACTTTATTCATTTAGATTCCTCGAGTGTGTGTGTCGAATACATGTTTTATCATGTCCTGCCACATTGCATGCAATGCGCCATGTAACAAACATAAAAGCTTAGTTGTCCGTTGTTAAACATCCATAGCGGTGTCGTATTTAAAATAAAATGCGTCAAAATGAGTGTCCTGTTTTTTTGCATTCTTTAATAAAGAAAAAATGCAAACACACGTATATTTTTTGACAAGAATCTCCGGACACATCGTGTTTTATTCACTTTAAGCGAATCTCTTGGTCCAACTCAGCACCAGCCATGTGCCTGGCCAACTTGGTCCTGAGATCTAATACACATCTTTTGGGATTTATTAGTGTTTTGCGGTCCTTGTCTTGGAGGTCAGCACTGCTAATAAACCCTCTGCAGTTATGGATTTGAAATGACAGTATCACGTGTGGAAAGGGAAGTGAAATACCTTAACAGTACATACCTTTAGTAGCTGTGTGACTTCGGCTAAACCACAAATGTCCTTATGTAAAGGATGTAATAATATACGTTGAGGAAAGCTTTTCTTTGCCACCGTTATACAGTACTTCGTAAATGTAACACGGATCCCTCTATTGTCTGTACAGGTTTATGGAATGGAAATATGTTATGCTGTGTGCCTGGATGTGTGTTGCACAAGTGGTGTAACATTTTTTATAGTACCACTTTTAAAGAAGGAATAAGTTTGAAGTTTCATTTGTGTAACCTGATGATAACTCAAGAGACAAAGAGTCTAATTTTAAAGGATGACTCGGGGAATGTTTCATATGCATCACTGACTTATAAGTACTTGCACCAGTATCATTAAAGCTGAGATGTAGTACCAGTGTTTCTAAAAGTAAAATGTACATTCCGAAAGGTTTCACTTCTGTAAGGCCAGAATGTAAGGTAATGTTTTAGTCTGTCAATTGAGCGCACATACAATTTGAGATGATTGTTAACGATGCAATAAATGTGAAATGGTTCGATAGAGGTGCACACACTGAATTAGGGAGGCAACACTATTTATTACTCAACATGTGACAACACTGCACATAGAGTGGTGACCACCAACCTATCCTCGCTAACCCACACTGCCACTCGCTAACACTGACACTCTGATACGACTAGCGTGACCAAGGCAGGAGGGCTACTGCTTGGCCACGCTGACTTGAAGCTTGACTCTTCTCTTCATGAGGCGTCTTCACAAGGCATCTTCATCCCAGACCCGAGCAGCCCCGCACCAGGTGCGGAGCCCGCTTATATGCACCTCAGCGCACCCAGGCCACACCCCGGCCACGCCCACCTTCGAGAACTCTCGAGAAGGCTCTTCTTCTGTCCACGTGGCCCTCAAGGTGCCCCCGGCCCCCACCTTGATCCGGTCACGTGTCCAGTCGGGTTCAGCCAAAGTGCCACGGCCTCACACAACACCCGCGGTACTGACCCACAGACTCCAGACCGCCCGACCCGGCCGTGACCGCTGGCTGGTGGACAGCAGCAGCTGCTGTGGTGGACAGACAGTGCACACGCTGGTGAGCGTGAGCACGGGTGTGTTGGCAGAACGGAGGTTCTAGGGCATGGGTCATGGAGGACGCCATCTGGACGCCCCCAGAACCTGCTAAAGGATTCGAGAAGGGAGGTGTGATAACGGCGGAGCCAAGCCGTGCATAAAAGGAGCCGAGAGGGGGGGGCTCGAGACTGCCGGTTCTGGGAGTGGACTCGTCTCGTCGTTGTTGTCGTCTCATCGCCGTCATCGCTAAATGTCTCCAATAGATATTGCGCTATGAATGAAAGTAGTTGGCTATCTCAGTCAATGTTAGACGGCTAGTGTTGTGTACAGGCTAGGCTAAGCTACTGTGGAGAGTGTGTGGACAAGACCGTGTAAGTTGTTAATAAAGAAAGTGCCTACTAGTAACTCTGTCTCTGAATCATTAACATTACAACTGGTGTCAGAAGTTGTTGGAAAAATTTAATAGACATTCGGGTATAGTAGCAATATCGAAGTTATAAAGGATGAGGAACCCACCCATAGTGTCATCAGAGGACGAGGATGGTGAAAACGGCTATATCTGGAGTCATCAGTACTGGAGCAGGTTAAAATAAATAAACTGTGACTTTCAAATCAAATAAAACATTTACTTATAAAAGCACAATTCGTGCAAAGAATGCACTACTAAGTGCTTTCAGGACTAAATGACGGACCTAATGCAATGTAAACAATAAGAATGATACGTAAAAAATACACGCATTATAATGAACTAAAGTATAATAAAATTAATAATAAACACAATGAAAGCGTGAATGATCAATGTTTTTGTCATGAGTGGTAACCTTGGGAGTTTAGCTGGGTGGCATGATGCTTCGAGTGCTTGACTTGCAATTTCAGCCTGGGGGGGTTGTTGAAGTTTTTCTCTTAGCTTGCTAGCTTCCCAATGCTCAGTGTTCAATCAACAACGTGAGTTTTGGTGATTAACTTCTGCTTTTAACGTAATACTATACCAGGTGGTGGTCAGGGGTTGGTGTGTTGCTGTGGTTGCACATGTGGTCGTGTGTTGTTGTTCAGGGTTGTTGCTTATAATGGGTACACATTGACTATATACAGTCTTTACAATACACTCCGACACCTGATCACATCCAACCACTCAACTTAAGCAGGTAAAACTCCACACACTGACACTAATAACACAACAGAGAATCCCAATCCAGAGAATAAATCTACCAAAACGAATTCCCTCCAAATTCTGTGTACTGCCATACATACCTAAACTCTCAGAGAAGCTGAGCAGAATTCTCACAAAATACAACATCAAAGTAGCCCACCGCTCCGCTGTTAAAACTCCTCGAGTCAAACCAAAGGACCCTGTGACCACCACCGAATTTAGTGGGGTAGTCTATTCAGTACCCTGCATATACTGACTTATGGTAAATAGGAGAAACAAGATGCAGATTTCAGGACAGATAATTATACGAACGTGGTTATTCTACTCACACCTTACAGAAAACTGCCGTTTGCCAAACATCAGTGTACACTAAACCACTCGAGATTTGAAAGGGGCCAATATTCTATTCACAACCCCCACCCAATTAGATCTAAATTCCTAGAATTATTTCAATGCACTGCAAACAAACAGCATTACACTAAGCAATACAAAAATCTCCCATCTGGACTCACACCGCTGACAAAACTGAAAACTTACAAAAGTTGCTTCTCATGGGCCCCATTTGAATCACCGCACAAGTCACAGACACTCCAAAACACGTGACAATAACATAACACAACTCTATAATTCACCAATTTCACCACCCACCAAACATTATCACCACAGCCAGCCACTCCACCACACACACTTATCCGTGATCCGCAACATGTCTCTCAAAACCACTTGTTTTGTCTGGCATGACCTTTAGACCACGCATACCAAAGACATAAAGCCCCACACATTTACAACCCATTACTCCTTAAAATGCCTTGCATTACCAACAACGTGCACTTCTTCAAACTCCCAGCAGTACTGAAACTATTCACTGAACACACACACACCTCACAACCACTCAAATCATATGATTTTGAGGCCAGTAAACTTACAATAGGTCTTCTAATGCATAATAAAGGTGTTTGGTTTTAAATCACCTAAATATA